CTGGGATTGGAACTCGCTTCACTCGTTTTCCCAAGAGAGAGCGTTACCACTGGGCTACCAATGCCTTATTTAGGTTCCTATGGCATTAAATTTAGTTTTAATTTTTTGTATAATAAGGGCAAAGGAAACTGACATTTTATATATAAACATCAATAAACAATGTAATCACCCACCAGACGAGAACTGCTCCTTTAATTATAACAAAAAATATAAGAAAATATGAATAAACTGTAAAACAAAGTTCGACTGATGCCCTTGACATTTTATAGAACAATAATTTAGCTATACATTTATATGGTATAGTCGCGTTTAACAGAACCTGTTTCTTCTTATATTAATTCTTTAACTATTATTGGAAACAAAAAATATTATAAAACATTAACTTTATGTAAATGCATACAACAATATGAATTGTCTCGCTTATATAAATATTCACGTTTGTCGCCATCTATTGAAAACTACTAAGACTACCTCATAAATGCCCTCTAGCGGTTGTATAGTACAACACATGCTATTCCAGGAACAGAAAATAACTTGGCCTGCGGGTCTTGTATCTTGAAATGATAAATAAAATACACCGAATCTACACGAACATAATATTATATATTAAACTAGCGGTTCATCCCTAGGTGTGTTTTAACGATTAGAATAGAATAGACAGATAATATTATAAGTATATTATATTACAGCTCCGCTCCCTTGGGTAGAAGCATGATTATATTATATAACTTATAGCCCTCCTCAATAAACAGGCTATCATCTAATGCAAAAAGAATTTATCAAATCGGATTAGTAGTTCCTGAGATAACCACCAAACAAACAAAAACACAAACAAACAAGCAAACAAACAAACGAACAAACGAACAAACGATCAAACAAACAACGTCTGCCTCTTTATATTATTAGTATATATTAAAATGGTTTTAAAGCACTTTTATATTATTATTCAGTTGTGTGTAGAAGTTAATTGGTTAATTTGTATGATTGGATATAGGTAATTATTTAGATTTTATTGTTAGTGAAACTAAAACAAATATTGTGCCTCCTAAAATAATCTTTTTTTTTTAAATTGAAAGTAGTAAAATGCATTACGCACTACAAATATTAGCATTAAAATTAGTACATGCGCTTATAAAGTGTAAATAAGAATTATCGTTTTGTCTAAAAAAATTGAAGCCATAATGATTACCAACAACTTTTATCCAATGAGCACCTGTTTAAGCCTAGTACTCCCTTTATTATTCATGTAATGTAGTCCCTTCTAGTAAATTCCAGTAGGTAGGTACGTTAAAATTCAAGTAGCACAGTTTATAAATAGATATTTGCGCTCCCTATGTACAAAAAACGTACTTATGCTATATGAGGCTACATTTTTATAAATAATTAAACTTTCGTTTTCCACATAAATAAAAATTAATGTTAGTAGGTGTGTTTGTTCTCTACGTATTTCTAAAACCATTGATCTGATTGTGATGAAACTATTGTAGCTAGGTAATTCTGTATACGCTTGCGACGGTTCCTGACGCAAAAAAAACTATGTTTATCTTTCATGTGTTTCCAAATCATTCAAGATCAAGTTCGAAACAAGGGTAAGTAAGGGTAAGCTAATTTGAATTCGAGGACCTATATATATTCTTTATTGCATATTAACAGAGTAACACAGATAATACAGAGACCAATGTGGACAAAGGTGGACTTATCTCTAGAAAAGATCTCTTCCAGTCAACCTATGGAAGTGATAAATAGTGTTATATGACTAAAAGACTAAAAGAGTGCAATTGATTTAAGATAAAATTATAAATAACCTACCTAAAGATTTAATTTTATTTTAATAAAAAAAAACTGTCTTCATAAATGAGAGAATAGACATTAGACATTATACAAGCGCTCTAATCTGGTGCTAATCTAATCTCTTGCAGAATAAATAAAGTAAACCACAGAGAATATCGGAAAACCGGTTTTGGCAAAGCAATCGTATCGAGAGTGAAGGGTGAAAGACGAGTGAGTCCCGAACTATGTATGTATGTACGTAGAACCTTTTTCCGCTACCACCGGCATCCAGGGACGCAATAATGTATGACACATTGACCTCGTTTCATTGACCAATACTGGCTTCTATACAGCCAGATTGTCGGCTGCCGGGCTGGTGCCTTCGCTAGTACTGTGTGGCACTAACTTAGTGTAGAAACGGCATCTCTAGACGCTGAATCATTTACGACGACAACGAGCTTCAAAATTTTTGAAAGATACATTGCATTTATATGTACGTACCTACTCATTTTCTACACAAAAGACAATTTTTTATCGTCCACGTTTGGGGTACACTAACATGATGTCATTATGCTATAAACACATAATGTTTTTTATACCTTTCGCCGAAACTGGTGAGAATCAAATTATTTTAACCTACATGGGATGAAGAATCTTTTTTTTTTGCAATTGTTTTTAATATCTTGTACACATATATACCTGTACATGTTTTATATACCTATTCACCGTAGTCTATTAATTTTTAAATAAAAAAGAGGTACATATGACATCTTATAGCTTATTTTCTTCAGTACCTATTAACATAATATGTTAAAAGTAAACCTTTACGAAATCAATTAGATTTCTCTCAAATTGAGTACATTTTTAATCATTAATTTAAAACGGTACGCGTCAGCCCTGATAATTTTGTCCTGAACAGCAAACAGCAGCGAAACCGAAACAAAAATACATATTATATTGAGTACAAAGAAAATCTTTATAAAAAATTGTTATCAGACCATAACATGAATTTCTTAAAAAGGAAGCATTTTAATACCTCTTTATGCTATTTATATTTCTTAGTTATTTAAATTTCTATGAATTCATTATATATATTTCATTATACATATATATATATATATATATATATATATATATATATATATATATATATATATATAATATATATAATTATAAAGCATTCGCGCGCATATTAACGCCTTACAAAAGCTTAACATTCATTTTTAAACATTTCCTCTTTAATCTAATACATTATCTATTCACAAATGTAGGTATCGTTCATTGTTTATAAAAAACTTTAAGCTGGTAAATAATTAATTTATAACAAAAAGCAACTAAAAATTATTCCATTGAAATTAATAATAATATATCGCAATTTGCATAATATATCGTAGAAAGTATCAACTATGGCTGTAAAATAGAAATATATTATTCAATATCAAATTCAGTTTATTTATATTTGCGATTTCAATCACGACCCAAAGCGTATCAAAGAATAAAAATATTTTTTCACATAAATACCTTTAAGCATAATCTGTACTAATATTATAGAGAGACGGAGTTTGTTAGAACGTGCTAATCTCAGGAACTACTAATCCGATTTGAAAAATTATTTTTGCATTAAATATCTCGTTTATTGAGGAAGGATAGTCATACATAATATTATAAATGTCAAAGTCTATTTGTTTGTTTGTCTGTTTGCCCTTCTTTCTAGTCGAAATAGAGTGGCGGATTAGCGTATTTTTGTGTGGAGATAGTTGAAGGGCTGGAGACATAGGCTACTTTTTAACGTGGTAAATTATCTCTTTCAAACGGGAAAACACGTTATAATACAACTCAAAAAAATATTTATGATCAGAATTACTTAAAACTTAGTATTAATTCAATTAAAGAAACACGTGTTTTATCATTTTTTGAAATTTATCATATAAGGAGGTAAAATAGAACCCCTATTACTTTATTTTACCTTTTTCTACTTATAAAAGTTTGTATGCAACCTACCTCAGATTTTTTTCTTGTATTTTTAGCGCGAACTAAGCCGAGGGTCCTGCTAATAGGCTGTATACCTTATAGTTTTCAGTCTACCCTATTCCATACTAACCGTACCGTTGACCTAGAATTGTCAATTTTGGTTAAAAGCAAGGTCTTACAGCACAAGTAAAGGGAAAGTTCCGAAAAATAAAAAAAAAGTTGAAAATTAAGGTAAATTTAGGTACTAGGTACAAGTTTTCGCGAAAATCTAAATTTGCACATATCTTTTTATCGTGGTGACTCAGGACCTTGATTTTTATACACCTAATAGGGACTGTAGACCTCAGTTTCTGGTAAAAATTTGAAGTTGCTAGGTCCACCCGTTCCTGAGAAAATGGTGGTGGTGACATACGGACAGACAGACGGTCAGACGGACTAGAGAGTGATCATAAAAGGGTTCCTTTTTTACCTTTTGAGGTATGGAACCCTAATTAAAAAATATAAACGAAAAAGAAAAATGAAACTAAATACAATACTCAAAAAGAAAAAAGACACTTAAATTAAAAATAGGATTAAATGTATCAAAGATAAAAAAAGTACGAATCAACGACAACATATTTTTAATTTCTGACAATTTAGCTTAGCGAACATGAGGTAAATATGATGACCCGTAATGATAGGAAAATATTTGTCCAAAATTTAATATCATATACTCACGTAATTTAAAATATAGTGAATTTCAATAAGACTTACAATAAATAATTGCATACAAATATGAAACTGATATACGAGAGTAGCATGAGCTATCTGCGCGATAGTCTTTGAGACGACGAACGCAGGCGCAGGCTCACCTACCTGGGAAGGCGGCGCGGCGGCGGCGCCTGCGTCCCTTTCGCTCAAGGCTACGCACGCGTACGCAATTATAACCCTTAACTTAAACGCGTGTCAAACTCGCCACGCGGAATTTCGTCTGCACGTTGCTAGACCTTTTTCAATCGTGCCGGACAATCGAGTCTTGAACCAAACGAAAGAAATAGCAGTTTCGTTCGTATTACAATTAAAGGCCCGTTTTAATGTAGAATATTATGAAGTATATCGTTATTACTACATTAAACATTCAAAAACTTAACTGAAAAAAGTTCGCAATGCAACAATATCATGATAATGAAACGTAAACAAACCAATTGTCACTGTCAAAGCATGATGATTAGCGCCGGCGGCAAAAGAATAGAGAGTGCATTTTTAAATATTATCTGTTAGCTCACCTGTATAAAATTTTGAAGGCTGTGAGGTGTTTTTGGAAACGGTGCGATGGAGGTTTCCTTTCTGCCGAAGAGATCACGAAGGACGAATATGTATGCGTCGGTTACTGGGTGTAGTATAACGGGCCGGCGTCGGCGCAGGTGACAGAGCGACGCGAGCGCCGCGGCGCGCGACGGCGACCCTGCGTAACTTGACGCCTCCCCCTCCCTCTCCCAGACCTCAAACCTGCCATCTCCATCGCCTGCACCCTTGCGAGTTGCGACTTGCGAGTACATCCTTGCGCCTCGATCACGGCGTTTTCATTCAATTTTATAATCAGTAACACTCTCGTAGGGTTTTTTTAATTATTAAAGGAAAAATAATATTTAACTTTATTAGTATTAGAATTTAAAATTAATAAAAAAAAAACATTTTGAAGTTTTATCATTTTTCAATAAATAAAAATCACCTGGAAACTTTAATTAAATGTTTAGATAGTAGATATTACTATTCAGATAGAAGGTGCATTTAAAATACCTATGTTCGTAAATTAATAACGTATTTCCAGAATTACGATTGATCAAATTTTTTTTTTTGATTTGTGTCTTCCAATGTTATTTTTTATTTTTAAGTTTTATAAGCCAAAAGCTAAATTGCCGTTGTATTTTATTTATTCAGGTAACGATGGGACTGACATTTCCACCTAGTGCTTAAAACATCTCTAAATAAAAACAGATTAAAAAAATAAGCCAAAAACTACATGTATATCGTACCTTTATGTAGGTAGTAGGTACCTACTTATCTATGTACTTTCACGTACGACATTATTAATCAATTTCATTTTGTGATACGAACGAGAAACCTTAAATATTTTAAGCTTCTCCATTTTATATATTTTCACATTTGGCACTATAAGAACAAACACATAATGCAAAAATACAAATAATATATTTTTTAAAGTAATTCTGTATTCTAATAAACCATATATAAATACGAAAAAGTATGCATACGAATAAAACATCTAAGTAATAAGTATTTAATTAGTAAACTTTAAAGAGCTAGACCATGCTCGTCATACGTAACGAAAATCTTCTCGATAGCAGTGATGTATGCGGCCGTTCGCAAATCTAAGTCCAGATTGTGTTGCATTGCACTTCGTTTTACATTCTGAAATGACAATCATAAATTATTATCGTGTGGTTTTAAAATGTTCTACATACTCTATGGTCAAAAATTTCAATCACTATTTTCATATAAACTATTGTCACAATGCCGTAAAAAAAAACGCAATTCAAATCAAAGGCTACGACTTCTAAAGATGTTTCATAGGTTAGTTAGTACCTATAATAGTCTTCAATTCTGAATTTAAAATAAAACTATAAACATATTACTTAACATTGAATTCTAAACTAAATAACATGTACCTAACTTGATAAGTTCTTACACTAAGACCTAAGTGAATAAGCGTCGCTATTCAAATCTATGCTTACAAATAAATAAAATTCAGTGTAATGTCTGTGATTTCAAATAGGTATGATATCCTATATCAATCTCTTTCTGCTTGTATGATACCAAAACGTCCGAACTGGTTTAACTGTTAACAGGGCTCTCACAAGTGTTATTTAGGTTTCAGTTTATTGTAAAACATGAAAGATAGATTATAGAATAGTACCTACCTATCGTCGGCAGATACCACGTTTATAAGTACATAAAGTATGAAACAATTCGAAAAGTAGGTATGTACTACTAAACGTAATCATTACACCCAGCTCTGTATATTGTATGAAACAAAATTGCTACGTAACGGTTATAATAAGTACTAATTACACGCTTCTTCTTCTATTTTTAATTAATAGGCATTCACGAAGGAAGTATGACTTCAATTAGTGCTCACGATTACATACATCGAAATTTATACACAACGTGACAATTAAATTATGAGACGCTGCGGTTATGAAAAACAAAAGAAACGTAAAATTAATATGCTAATATAATCCGTTGTAAGGGCACGTTCATATCTACCTACACATTTATATTTACACATATCATTTATACATCTATACTAATATTATAAAGAGGCAGTGTTTGTTTGTTTGAACGCGCTAATCTCAGGAACTACTAATCCAATTTGAAAAATTCTTTTTGCATTAGATAGCCCGTTTATTGAGGAAGGCTATATAGGCTTTATATCACATAAATAACTCGTATTAAAAAGTATAACTTTATGTAATAAATACCTGACTAGAATCTATTAATGTTATAAAGAGGTAAAGTTTGTTAGTTTGTGGGTTAGTGAGTTTGTGACGTTGTAGGGGATAATCTCTAGATCTACTGAACCGATTTAGATGAAATTTGGTAATAAGATATTGTGAGACCCTGATAACGACATAGGATACTTTTTATCCCGGAAATCATCCCTTAAGGGGGTGAAAATGGGGACGAAAGTTTGGGTGCGGAATCTAGGGACGAACCCGAGCAAAGGGAGGTGAGTCGCTAGTACATATATAAGTAGGTTCCGGGAAATAAAAGCACTTGATAACACTTTGACTATTTATTCAATTAAAATTACAGAAGACAAGAGAGTTGTGCCGCCTTATGAAAAATTATCTTCATCATCATCTTTCATTCCAAGCTAAATATAAAATACGTTAGCATAGGTATGTACTATACGTCTCTTTTTATTCTAAAAATATCATTTCACGTATACTCACAATCTCGCAATTCACACATATACCTACAGGTATAGGTATAACTATTACACAGAAACCGTTCCAATATTGTGTAACGCCTTTACGATTATTATTTTTAAATATCTACCATCGTCTAGTAATTATTCATTATTATCAAACATATCACTCCTGGTTGGCAAAGTATAAAAGTTCATAGATTGTGACTGTCGATTTGTTTAACTATTTAAAAATTATGAATTTTAAGTCGATGCTTAAGAATAAATTTATCACCAGACCCGGCACGTATCATTCAATATGAAGTGGAAACATGTATATACCTAATCTGAATAGTGCTATCTATAAAGATAAATAAAATTGAAGGGCCTGCTTGTAATGTCAAAATAACAGCTTTTTACTAAATGAATATAAAATTATATACGGTACTTATAAGAAAGACACAATTTTTCTTCTAAACGAATCTTCGAAACGATTTTACTGATTTTGAGGTGACTTGCACTGGCAAATAGTGATGGTATAAAGAGTAACTTAGGCTACTTTCATTTTAGAAAAAGAATTAACGTTCCGCTCAAATAAATTACCTAGGGTCGCACCCGAGCAAATTAAGCAATAATAGGGTTTGTAACTTCTAATTAAATTGTTATTTTTCACAAGTGTAAGTATACCTAATATCTTTACATAGTTTAAAATAAAGTCGCTTCCACTGTCTGTTCACTTAGCTCTTTTAAACTACTGAACGGATTTTAATGTAGTTTTCAGCAATAGATAGAGTGATTCAAGAGGAAAGTTTATATGTACAATACATGCATATTATAGTAAAGACAAACCGAGAAATTCAATGATTTGTATTTCATACTAACCGTTAAAACGTACCTAGGGACAAACCCGAGCGAAGCGAGGGTGAGTCGCTAGTAAATTTTAGTAGTAGTAGTTAGTAAATTTTATTTTATTATCACCTCATCAACTTACTCTGCATGAATTTTCCATTGTAAACTCCAAGCCTGAGTTGACAATGAGCTCTTCAGAGGCGCCCGACATCAGCGACTGGAATATCGGCGTTGGCGAGATCTTGGCACAAATATTCGCCTTCTTCAATGACTGTTCTACTGAATCTTATTACAATAAAAAATACTTTAAATGCTATGCAGCCACGGAACTATAAACAGAGAACTATCTAACTTTAACTAAGCATTTATGCATTATTTAAGTCATGGCAACTCGCTAATAATCTTCCCATGGAGGCAGTTAAAGAATGTCTAACAATACAACAGAAAAGAAAAATAATAAATTGTTTTGGTTAAATAAAGTTAAAATTGCACGACGCGACGAATCACAATGTATTTTCGAAACTTCCACAGACACGTACCTATTTAAAGAGTTGAAATAGATTGCTTTTGTATGTATTTATCTACTAATAGCTTTGCAATATTTGCTTTAATTATTTAAAACATTTTAATTTCATCATCTTATTACCTAGTAAGGCCGTATTAGAGTCTCTCCAGAACTTGATATTTAACTTCCCAAAGCTTACATGGTTGAGGTTCTTAAGGAACTCGAAGTAAGAAACCGTGACGCCGCCCGCATTGGCTAATAAATCTGGTAGGACTAGAACTTTCTTCTTCCTTAGTATAACGTCAGCGGCAGGGGTAGTAGGTCCATTGGCGCCTTCCGCAATGATCTATATAATTTTTAAAATCATTTCAACTATACTCAACTGTGGGGTATCCAATTCAATAATAGACTGGGCATCTACAATATAAAATGGACATTCAATAATAAACAACTCTTATTGTTGCATAAACTATATGGACGCTTTTGAATAAAAGATTTTAATGTCCAGTTTTAATAATAATAATAAAAACTTCCATTTGCTAATGTAGTTTCAAAATAAAATTCTTTTAAGCACGTTTACGTAATATTTGATAGTGGACACCCAAGATGCAGGACCTAACCGACACTATAATACGTAAATGTTTAAAATTCTTTCTTAGTAATGTCCTCCTGACTGATCACGTTGGGTAAATTTAATGAGACTAACCAACTACTCAGAAACAAATATCGTGTATAAGAGATGATGATGTCCAAGAGCATTGTTTATTGCACTCTTATATCCATCGTTTCTAAAAATATTTGACAACCGCTGAAAGAACTAATCACGATCTATAGCCATAAGTTCATGCCAACCACTAATCAGGAAGGTATTCACATTTTTTTGCACTAAAAAATTACCTACGTATATTTAACTAAATTAATTTCATTTCAGACCTTACAATTCAGTTTATTAGCGTTATCTTGCGTTAAAGTCTTTTCCATAGCAGCCACAACAAGGATATCGTGCTTTTCAAACATAATCTCTGGGCCAGTTTCTGAAGCGCCAGAAAACCCCTTCGCACTGCCCTTATTCTTTGTTTTATACTGAAGGAGATCCTATACGAGTATAATATAGATAACAAGTTTAATCTACAATATAATAACAACAATCATATACGTACTTAGTTACTCTTTGAGCTAGAAATCCACAGAGGATTAAGACTTAAGCGATTAAGAAAGTAGTTTATCTATATGTACCTACTTATAATAAAATTCTGAGTCAAATCTGTACATTAAATATTTTTGGAAAATCTTATTGAAATAGACATTATTATCGATACAGAGGCCGAATCTATAGCGTTTAGAATTTTTGTCTGTCTGTCTCTCTGTCTGTCTGTTACCGCATCACAGAAAAACTGCTGGACGGATTTTGATGAAATTTGGTATGGTCATAGCTGATTATCCGGGTCAACATAAATCATACTTTTTACCGCGGAAAAAATATCTCATTATGAGAAAAAAAAACAAAAACTGTAATGTAAGAGTATACTAATATGTAAAACCTAAGAATTTGGTTTTTGGTCAACTGAACGCGGGCGGAGCTGCGGGCAATGTTAGTCGTAAATAAAACCTGTTTGTATACTTATGTACGCACGTAAGAAGTTATACATACTTCTTTGGCGTAACAAAACCAAAATAGCTAAATATTTCACCCGTATGTCACAACTCTCTGTTTGTAAAAGGAATGCAGCTAACTTCATCATGTGCGCGCGCATCGTAAAAATTTTACTCTCATAACTTTTTCCAAACGTGCCAAAAGAAGTACCTATAACTTCAATAAATTGCTACCTTTGTGTTAATTCCGTCGGGATTTTTTAGATTACAGTCGCTCTCAAGGACTCCAATGACCTTCACTCCGTGCTCCTCGAGATATATTGCTGTATAACTGCCAACATTGCCAAAACCCTGGATAATTGCAGTTTTATCCTAAGCATGACAAGAAAAATTTAAAAATACTTTTATTTATTTAATTCATTAAACTTTTTGTGGGTAAAGGCGAAATGATTATACAGCATTAGGTAATTAAAATAACTTTAAAAGTTCAGATCTGGGATACGGTGTACCTAACTTGACCTTTTGATTACTTAAAGAACTTTTTCTACGGATAAATTTATTTTTCTAACCTTAAAGCCCGGCTGTAAATCGATAAGTTTCATCCAGTACTCATCATGTATAAATGTCGATATCGTGAGGAAGACACCTCGTCCCGTGGCCTCTATACGGCCGTGGATGCCACCACCATTAATGGGTTTGCCAGTAACGCAGGCTGCTGCGTTTATATCGTGATATCCTGCGCCATATTAGTAAACTAGTATTTCAATTATTATTTTTTGGTCCAACGGGAAAACAATAAACAGTTACGTGAATTTTATATTTATTTACTTTTTGTAGAGGAGGTATTATAATCGTAATTACCTCAATAAAATTCAAACTTTATCATCAATAACATTTTAATGATTTCCCTATTTTAAACATATAAGTACTTCCTAGGTACATACGTTTTAAATCAAAAAATACATATTGTGAAACTGATATGAAAATAATAATCGTATACTTTCGTCTACAAATTTTATTAAAGTCATACCTAGAGTTTTTATATAAGTATCTACAATCCAGGACATTTCTCGACCCGATGTATTAATGTCTGGAGCCGGCACATCTATCCCTGCTCCTGTAAGAGATCATTTTAAAATATAAACAAAAAAGGAGATTTGCAAATAGATATTTTAATAATTTTGAAGAGTAGACGCTTTCAATGACGCAAACGTGCAAAAATTAACGTCACTAGTAATAATTAACATTGGTAAGAAATTATTTACTTTGTTTATAATAATTATTTAAATAATTTTACCAAATTACATAAACAAAATATTTGCTGACCGATATAATTCTTTTTGGCGAGCTCCAGGGTATACCGACGCGTGATTCTCTGCAGCTCAGCTACCGTAAACTTTCGTGGATTTATTGCCACTCCTTTACCAAAAAAAACATTTCAATTATAATATTAAATTAACGATTTATTTCACACTTTATTCTATTACAATGTGGAGGAGAAAAAGGATACTTACATTATTATCAATTCCTTTACTATAGCAAAGGTCACAAAGCATAGATGTGTAAAGCTAACCGCTGCCATTTTTTAAGTGTCACGTTCCCGAGATATTAGAAAGCAAAAAGATATGAAATCGATAGCAATCATGAATTTAACATATGGATTATAATATAATATTATAAATATTTGCGAAAGTTAATGAAATACAACCTTTCTTACCTCCTTTGGCTCCACCAAATGGTATATTACAACAAGCACATTTATATGTCATCAATGCAGCTAAAGCTTTCACTTCCTCTAAGTTAACTTGGTCCGAAAATCGGATTCCTATATTTAATATGGTAAGTTTAACAACTTATATAATATAATTTAAATTTCTGCTACCTACTTGTCAAACAAAGTAAATTTAGCCAAGTGTGTTTAAATTATTGCTTTAGTTTGTATATTAATTTGTTGAAGATTAGGTACCTACGTAGCTACTACATGAAATAATCGTTAATGATATATTGCTAATATACATTATTTTTATATAAATCGTACAAGTACCTCCTTTACATGGCAAGCGATGTACGCTATGTTGTGATCGGTACCCATGGATAATCTCGTAATCGCCATTTTTGCGTTGCAATGGAAACTCAAACTGCAAGGAACTGTTACAAGAGCCCATGACCTACGAAGTATCGTATTTAAAAGCCATTAAATTTTGTAAGGAGAACATGAGTACCTATATTTCTGTTTCGACATTTACCTACTTATTCTCATCAAAAGTACCTACCTAAAAAGTAAAAACCGTTATATTTTTATATATACACACATATAATTTTTTTACAAGAGCCTTATGCTTAGAATATATTTATGTATCAAGTAGTCAATGAGGAGTCTACATATCTTCTTCTCCTTCTTCTCTCTGCCCATTTCCCAATCAGTTGGGGTCGGCGCAGTACATTTTCTGTACTGCTGATAGGATTTGGCAAAAGTTTTACGACCGGCCGCCTGCCTGAAGTAAACTTTCCTTGAGAATCTACATATACACCTATAAAAATTATTTTGAGAAAATGAAGGCAAAGTTTCCTCTTCTATTCAGAAATAAAACACACTCTATCGTGGCTTACGTCCCATATACTACACAGTAGGCACATATCACAAGAGAAAAGTTCAAAAGCCTCTATACAACATTTGATACCTTCAAAATTCCAGCAACTCTTTGTTTCCTTTTCTTTTCAGAAAAATGTGCATGTTTCTTTAAATATTCAAATAGTGTGGGCTCAACCACTTTAACGGCGAAATGGTAAAAGTATTTAATCATTTGATAAAAGCTAGGGTCGGGATCATCCATCACTTTCTGCAAATGACAAGGTATTTCATAATTTCTTACATTAACCTTTATCGTCCCAACACTTTTTCTATTTGAAGGTATGAACCGTCCACATGTAATTCTTAGCATTGTTTAAATTAATTTCTTTAATAACGCCGTAGCGACAATAAATAAAGAAAACGTCAATTGGAAACGTGTAAAAGTTAGCATAGAGGGCGCTCCTAATTTGAGTCCGTCAAGGTCAGTCAAGATAAAATATTTCTACCTGGTACACAATATTTCCAGTTGGTACACAATTTTCCTTCTTTACACTAGAATAGAGTGGAAGCGAATAATCGAGCGCGTTACAACATCTAAATGATGACCACGACCAGTCCGTCAAGACTGAAACGACTAACAAGAAATAAATAAATATTACGTCCTTAGCGCGTATGAACATTATTAGTGTAAACGGTTCCATGAACTAATCGTTAATCTGAATGTTTACAAACCGCCAAACCGAGCTTTTTTAACCGCCGACGCTAAAAGAGGGGTGTTATGAGTTTAACGTACATACGTATCTGTACCTGTCTGTGGCATCGTAGCGCCCAAGTGAATGAACCGATATTAATTTAGTTTTTTTTTGTCTGAAAGGTGACTTAATCAAGTGTTCTTAGCTATTATACACTTAAATTAAGAAAATCCTTTCAGCCGTTTGCAAGGCATCAGCTCTTTTCTATACGATAAAAGGATTATGGCAACTTCCACAAGAAACCACTCTTTACTCTCTCTAAAATACTAGAGTACTCTTTACTAAAAATACTAGAGATATCGTGCTTAGGCTCATTGAAATGATCTCAATGAATAGGTTATTGCGTTGGCTTTTTTTTATTAATTTTTATTTTAATTTATTCTCTGAAATATTCACAGTATTTATTAGAAACCGTGTAAGAAAACTTATGGCAGTTGTAGAACTTACTTACGACAGATAAATTCATTATTTTATTTGTGGATAATGCTTTTAATAAGATTAAACAGAACTAAATATAAAAGATTAAGAGCAATGGGGAAGAATTTTGCCATTTCTTCCGCCAGATGTCGCGACCACTATGATCTGCAGTGTATTGTAAAGCTCTATAACGTGGATGAGTTTTTTCTCATTTAAAACTTAATTAAAATGACGAATTGTGCAGTACGATGAAGTGAAGAGAATATAAGCTAAAGCAATACGACGACCAAAATTGACGAAATTTCAATCTTATATTTAAGGCTATGTGGACACCATTTTACAGAAAGCTATTTTAACACTGTGAAATCATGTACAGGTGTTTGTTTTTTTTTAGGTTTTTACTATTATTGGAACTTTTACAGATACATAATATATAAACATTTTGTTTAAATTGTAGGTTTTAATTTACAACGTTAAAAATTAAAAGGAGAATGCGGTGCCGTCTGTTTTCCCTTGGTCTAATGTTTTAGCCGTTTTACCACCTTATGCAGCTCTGCTAGGAAAGAAAGACTACGAAATAGAAATCTGAAAAAGGAGCTATCCCCACAATAATTTTCAGATTGTAGTAATAATGATACTGAAGTTCCAAAGAGTGAGCTATTTATTATTGATATCCTGAATTTGAATATCACTATATCTTGAAGATTGTCGTGTATTAATGTCCAAGAGTTCACTACACTGAGGATCATAGTGATCGCGACATCTAGCGGGAGAAAATGACAAAAGTCTTCCCTATTAAGGAGTGGAGATCCTAAATAATATTGCCAAGGAATTAAACTTTATTTAATTATTTTTTTTGTTTATGGATATCCAAAGACGTTAAAGTTATGTCTGTCTTCAGTCTTCACTTAGTTTCTAACACTATCTCTAGGAATCTGTTCTCTTCTCTTTCACGGTATCCACTTACTGAAGTAACTTAGTATGCAATACTATAACTATAGAATAATATCCAGATTTATCCATTTTTATGAATCTGACATCTGTTATTAATTATGATCGATTTTTCGCAAGCAATAACAACTGTATTTCCCCATATCTTTTCAATCGATATCAGATTCATTATTAATTTCTATTATTTATTCCCTTTCTTATAATTTATCTAAAATATTATTTTTTTACATTAATCAAACATGTAGCGTTAAGTATTTAAGAAGAAAGCAAAACCTATTGGGTTACAGAAAACCTATAAACCCACTAAAACTCCCAACACACCGAAACTTCGCTAAACAAAACCGCCCAAAAAATAAAACAACAATTAATGAAAAAATATTTTATTACAACACATATTGCTTAGAAAATGGAGTATGGTATGTAGCTTACAATAATTAACGCCATTAATACAAGTTCTTCCTAAATTAATTATCAAATTACATCTAAAACTTTACATAGCAATGCGACGCCTTCGCTGGCAATGGTAACCATACGTACTCACATAAATAACACGCCGTCTTGAATGAACACCTAATGATCGATAATTTAAAAGCGTCAATGACGCGCATTGCTTTTAAAAACTTATAACTATTATTATTATATTAAATAATTACTCCAAACCTCCATTTCCCATCTATATCTAAGGTCACGGCGTCTATCCAATAACCTAAGTCAGTCATTTTTGACATTAAATTAATCTATTACATTGGTTCTACCCACATATTTAAGTACAGGGTAATATTTCATTTAAATATGCAGCTTAGTGAGACAATACCCTATATCAAAATTTGGAGGTAAAATACCTATCCATACATGGACATCTATAGATGGTCTCTGCCAACACTGTCGACTCATTGCAAAAGGATCGAAATAAAGTGTTCTCTTGTATTGTAAACAAATAAGGCTGTATAGCTTAGCTTTAATTAAGTAAAATTGTGTAATTAATTTAAAAATGTTTCAATGTAATTATCACTAGTGGATCCAAATAAATAAATTTAAAAAAATCACAATATATATTCATATACGGATACGATCTCTACCTATAGATTCGACACCGTGCCAGTGAACATTAGGGACGCTTATAGCTGCAAGGAAGGCAAACCTCAAAGGCAGAGCTAGTGAAAAATATTAATAAGCAATTTCAACTTTAATTAATCGTATTTCTTTATTTCGCTCTACTACATTGAGCCGTGCCTTTACCGTCATACCGTAACATCTAGAAATGAACTACTATATCACAAATATATCTATCTAATCCGGCGTCCGCGCCCAACCAAACGGATCAACGTCGCTTACAATATAAGTCAAGCACATTTCACATAAATATTATCCATTATTACAAACAAATACATTAATTTACAAATATTAATCAAACATTCAACAAAGTACTGTTTTATTACATGTCGGAGATAGACTAATTTACAATTTCCACACCAAATTACGTCATATAAATTACACATCTTTCATCATATCAAGAATTATTATCAGTATCCGAAAAAATGTTAAAATGTATTTTGTACAATATTTGTTTAATGCTCTAAAAAAAAACTAATAAAAAAATTTATTGTCATCATCTTTTTGAATAAAATCTTTAATTAATTATAAAATCATACGTTCGTAATGATTTCAATTTTTTAACTAACAACCAAATCCTAAAAACCGTCAGAACATATTAGGGAGAGCTTCAAAGTTTCAAAAATAGCGCTTAAAGTTCTTACTTGAGGCTGATGATTCCAGTCTGAGACAGTATGGTAATGTACTTCGTGAAAAATTGCCTTTCCAAGGCTAAAAAGAAGAAGAGAAAGATCTCAAACCACATGGATGACTAAGGTCCAAAAGGACATGAGTGGGATGAGACATAAATGGCGTCGTATGATTGGGAAAGCCGACCCTGCGTATAGGGAAAAGGCGAGGAAAAAGAAGAAGATATCAAAACAGTATGTATAAAAAATCAAAATCCCAAAATCCCATATTAATAATATGTTATATAATATATATTAATAAATAAACAACAATTTGTAGTGGGTACCCAATTTTTTTTTTAATTTATAACATAGTGTGCAATTAATGTAATGACGACATTTATATACTTGTTTATGATTATAGTGATTATTGACATGTGAATTTAGAATATCTCTATATTATAATGAAGATAGCTAATTTTAATAATGTATCTATTACATACATACTATTTTACATGTATTTTCTATTCTTTAGATCTCTATGGGTATCAGAAGGGCATAAAAATACAACATTTAATTGGGGCTAATTTAAGTACACATAATATTCCAAGTTAAATAATATATATAATAATATAAATACAGAAATTTTATAGAAAAAAATGACAACATAAACAGATAATAATATACACAGGTAATAATATTAATATGTCAGAGATGTATTACATATGAAAATGCATTACTTCTAATTTCAGTTAAAAAACGTCGCCAAAGTTGAAATGCTATTATTATAAATATCATAAATGATGATGTTCTCCTAGCCGATTCCGGCCACGGCGGCCAATCTCAATGAGATTAGCCAACTGCGCAGGAGATATTATAGTGCTCAAGTGTACGCGCAGACACAAGTGCACTCTCTATTCCTATCACTCTCATACTCCGGTGGGACGACCACTCGACACGACCGGTGAGAGTTAAGGCGCAGGACCGACGGCTTTACGTGCTCTCCGAGGCACGGGGGTGAAACACCGCTAACTTCCCAACTCCGGGCTGTTACTGAGACTTACTATACAGGAAGACTCAATAACTAAACTTGGCCCTACCCGGGACTCGAACCCAGGACCTCCGGGTGTGCAGCCGTACATGCTAGCCACTACACCACTGAGGCAGTTATATCATAAATATAATATCATAAATATAAGTATTATAATAAAATGTCATTTTAAGAATACAGGAACACCATTTAAAATTGCTAACACACGTCACTATCAACACATTGTTGTTAATACTATTGATAAATATATTTACAAAATGATTAATCTTTAAATTGAATAAATAAATATAAATGTCTGATAATGGAAAATTTTGTTTTATACAACGTCTTGGCTTATTGTAATACTAATAGTTATGTCAACCGTAGATCGGAATCATTACATTTATGACCTCTATACATTTATAAAAAACATTCAGAATATTAATAAAATAGACAAATTTCACATCAGAGAATAATAATATAATATCTAAATTGTCTGTTTTCAAATATGTCAAAATGGTTGAGTTTATTGGTTAGTTTGAGCATTTTGTTGAATTAATCAATGTCACTGTCACTGTCACTTTTACCGCCGTGAGCGTCTTTGTCGTGGGGTGCGAGTGCTTACTTCTTGAACAGCTTGTTCCACTGCAGGACCTGCTTGACGGGTTGCGACGTTGATGGTTGTGGTTGTGGCGCTCCTCCATGCTGCGCCTCCTGGAAGCCTGCGACAATCATACTCCATGGTTAACATCAGCAACTACTCAATAGTGAACATCCCTAGATGCAGAAAGGACGATTGTTTTCGTATGAATCACAAAACATTATGATACCGATAGCTTATTTTCGCAATATGTTTGTAAATTACAGCCTATAACCTTCGTAGAGAAGCCCTCTTCCTATTAGTAAAAAACATATTAAAATCCGTTCAGTACTTTCTGAGATTAGCCTGAACAAACATAAGCTCCGCCTGATTTCTTTTATGAGATCTTTAAATGATTTCACCCAGACGTTTGCGTGATACTTCAGGCACTTTTATATAAATCGAGAACTTCAGTAATATATAATATTGTCTTATTTACATACAAGTGGTATACCTTCGCAAAAATATAAGAAACATTTAAGAGCTTCGGACAAATGCATATATTAACATTTTATTTAATATTGTTTAGTCCGTAAGTGATTCTACGGCGCTCCCATAAAAAGAGGAATGTTCTGTTGAGTTTAGTGGGTATACTACCTTTACTAGCCAGTGAGTCATATAACCACTTGTTTTACACGTAAATAATGTGTTGCCCATTTTAAATCAAAAGCTATTATATCTATTTAGTATGAGCAGCCCGCGTAGCATCCCGCGTTTAAACTTTCGATCACCACCAAACTCCACAGGACACCCACTGGGCTAATCTTCATTGCTTGAAAATTTCATCAAAATCGCTCCAGCCGTTTTGGAGTCCATAGGGATACATACATAATATACAAATCGATTTATATATATAGATTTACCTCTCTCGCCAAAGCAATCAAATATTTGCTTTTGCCGGACAGACTCCCATAGGGCGCGACGCTACTCGGTCAACTCACGGTCGGCCCCTCCCGCCTTATCCGCGATGCACGAGCGCGCCACGGACGCGAACAACCTGCAAAAATCATTTATTATGTGGCATAAAATTGTTGTAATAACATGATAAATTTATTAAATCGTGTTGATATAAATAAGAGAAGCGTGTTACTCAACTTTCACTGTACAAAGTTGACTCGTACAACATGTGTTGGACATCCAAAACCATCTAATGCCACACAATCACCAATCAAAAGGACTATTGAAACCAACTTACTTTTCGATCTCTGGAGCGCAGTGTACAAATTCATGAGTCCAGAACTTATATATTGGGTTCTTGATGAGTTCGATAAAGGTGATCAGAAGACCCCATGGGTGTGGTCGGTTTACGATCAACCTTTCTAGAAGCATCCGTGTGATTTGCTCTTGTACCGCTTCAGAATTGGCCTCAGCGAATAAGTACAGGAGACAACAGCTAAAGTAGTGCGTGTGACTGTTTGGATAACGCAGTTGATTTGCGATCGCATTCAGGAACAGATACCTGAAAAGTTTCATAGTTATAATATACCATACAACGTGACGAACAAACACACACACACACAAACACAAACATGCACAATGTGTTAATCTAAGAGAATAGATATATAGCATTGGGCGCTAATATGGTTCCACATCTACCAATATTATATTTTGTGGAATTAAGAACCATTTTTGCGCTCAGAGTTTTACGTACCGTCCTTCATAGTCAAAATCAACGGTGAAGTTTTGGAATATATCCATGTGGGCGGAGTGGGCTATTGTGGACATATTTGGTGTTTGTCCCTTCGCTCGTATGTGGGCTATGGCCTGAGTCCCCACGTACAGTACTACCGCGTTCATTAGCTGACTGTTGTATCTACGGCCCGGCTCGTTCACAATCTGTAGTCATTTACATCGCATCAGATATATTTAGATAGTTTTATATCAACAGTCACATTCTAAGCGTGTACTTTTATTAAATTGAATATTTCAACAAAAGATCATTCATGAAGCAAAAGGCTATATATACTAAAAATAAATAACGAAATAAATATAAAATATATTTAACAGCATATTCCATGCCGTTCTAAAACTAACCAACCTACAAGACATGCGAATTGGGAATCAGCAATTCATTTTATAAAGGAAGCGTCAAAATTTGCTTGCACAATGTACAGGCATTTACCTTAACCACTGGACCTAGGGGTTTGTAAGACGGACCTGTTGTCACATATTTTACCTGCATATTGCTACGTAGCTCCGATAGGAACGTGACTGGAGCACGTGCTTTTATATAAGCATCCAAATCCTTCTTGAACTGCGTTGCAGGGATGATGGTAGCGTAGTTGATTACCGCGCGAGGAGGTAGCGTTATCTCCGCCAGCAAGTCCACCTTCAAGTTGGGAGTGAAGGGATCTGGCAGACGCATGTTCCTCGGGAACGCTGACAATATCAGATTCCTCATCTGAATGCAATTTGGGGGTATCTCATCGCAGAAACCGTAGTGGTAGTCGCATAAAAACTCTGGGAAGTCGTGGAGCAATACTAGCAACACTTTCAGCGTCCCTTTGTACAGCATCATGACGGGTGTCGCCAGCTCCGTGTTACGTAAGAACGGATCGAGGAACTTGAAAAGGTCGATTAGCAGCGTCGAATACATTCCCCAACCCTGGCAACATTCAACATTTAGTAACAAGCGGTATACAGTTCGAGATATATCAACAAAGCGATGATCAAGCAATGATATCAGAAGCTAGTATTTAACTGTAAACACATACGAGCATAAAATTAAAATATTCAATACCAAGACTTCCGTGATAGACTTGAACAAAAGAAAACAAATCCATAAGATATGCAATCAAACATAAATAATGCACATGTATTTACAGATATATCTTCATATCTTTTCACACACACGCGGCCCGTTGGAGTATACAACGCTATATGGAATAGAATCGCGGCTACCTTGTATGTAATACACTAGCTTAGTAACTTCATTTTGCCCAATTTACTGAGAAAATATATTTTTAATTATATAATATTTTAAAATAATAACATTACCTAAACAATTTGGCCAAAATAAAGTTTTACAAAATACATAATTTTTGTAGCGATCTAAGAGACATAGGGAACCAAGACCCGGCAACCGTTCTAGTATTTTTATATGAAATATTATCAAAATATAACAATTGTGTTATCGGCGCCACCAATCAATTGAAATACTTTTATGAGCTGCCAAAACGCGATTCCCGCATACATTTTATATGAATATAACAAACCGTGACGTCACTTGTTTACCAACTCAATTGGCTATCTATCAATAATTTGATGTCATAGCCACTAAAAATCTAATTTTACGGGTTTTAGAGCTAAACTAAAGTGTTTGTTTAGAGAAGTTGTATCTTGGAGTTGTTATTTAGTGCTGACAATATACAATTACCTAACAATAATGAAGAAAAATATGCCCTGCATAGAGCGGTGGCCGAGCCTCGATAAACGCCGTGTGTGAAAAGACACTCGCATATTGCTGGTTCCAAAGCTGAGGATTAGTGTTTTTTTACGATGATGTGCTAGACCTTGATAATTTACGACCTGACTTTTTATTATAATCACGTAGATTCTCATAAGCTCTTATTAAGAAAAGCGAAAAGGCATAAACTTTAAAAGAAAACAAATCAAGAGAATGATGATACACTTGGTCATTAGCTAACTTTAGGTAAGCAGATGTTATATTATGTTAACCACTACAATTCCGTTCTAAAACGGATCATATTATAGAGTAATACTTCGGGGGCATGTAATGTATATGAGAAGTAACTAAGTATTTACTCGTTAATTAAATTTGATTTGAATAAATCAGAATAAAAAAATCAGGTCTCATCTCTATGAAAACTAATTTGACACATTCTGGCATAGATATAGGATGTTAATTTTTATTTAATTTTATATTTTATTCAATAAACAAATTTCATTTTAGTAGTTCATTGTTTTCACTAATTATAAAGATATCTACATACATTTATCTCTATAATAATACTATATTGTTCAAATATACAGGAATTTAATTAATTACACATTTTTAATAATAATAATGGCCGTGTAAATTAAATAAATACCTCTCAAAATTTTAAAAGGCTCTGATCAGAAATTATGACACGTACATTTTACAGGAAAAAAATTTAAATAGCTTTCATACAAACATTACTTAATTAAAAAAAACAATGTTCCTTAATACATGTTACGATCAAAGCCTTTATACCAGATTGTATCAAACGAATTCAAGGCCTTGCGAGTGTCAGTCAAGATTTCAAAATCAATAAACCCTTATACAATAAACAACGAATAAAAATTAGAAACAACCTCTACATATATAATACATATTTTAGCCACAATAATCTATAGCCTAAAAAAATCTTGACCAACACTACCAAATGGACATACAGAACACGATAAGAAATACCAATGTATATAACAAAATATTATATATGCGTATGTATATATAGATACATACCTTCTGTTGCGGCGTGACTGCGAGCACGCGGTTGACGAAGGCCCGGTGCGCGACGATCTCGAGCCACGCGTAGCAGAAGCCGGGCGCCACGCTGGGGCGCACTATGCGAAGTGTGTGGCAGAATGCTGTTAGAACCTGATGGAGAATCATAATTAAAATAAATTGTATTCAGCCCTTTTTAACGTCCCTCTGCTGGGCATAGGCCTCCCTTTAGTACGAGGGGGATCAGGCCATAGTCCACCACGCTGGCCAGGTACGGGTTGGCGGAGATGACATGTCTTTCGAAAACTTGCTAGGTAGGTTCTCTCAGACATGCAGGTTTCCTCACGATGTGTTCCTTCACGCACGGCAAGTGGTAATCATGTTAGAAATGATTCGCACATGAAAATACCAGAGGTGCGAGACCCGGTATTTGAACCCGCTTCACTCGGTTTCCCAAGCGAGTGCGTTACGACTGGGCTACCATCGAATTAAATATAAATATTAATATATGTATAATAATATAATAGTTCCACGGTAAGCTACAAGGCTTGTGTTATGGATACCAGATAGTTGATACACTAAACATATAACTTTAAATACATACATACATATTATAAATATAAACACCCATGGCTGGAGTACAAACATTCGTGCTCATCACACAAATGAATGCCCCCAGTTAGACTCGAACCCGCTACCGCTGGCACAACATGTAGGGTCACTACAAACTGAGTCAAACGTCTCGTTTTATTAATACTAATTCACTATCAGCAAGCAATTATACTGCCTCACGTAGTCATGGCCATGACAGTGGTAGACCAGTGGTAACGCGCTTGCTTGGGAAAACACGTGAAGCGGCTTGAAATCCCGAGTGTCGCAGCTGTGATCTTGTCATATCTCAATCTATTTGATATTACTCACCTGATAATTCATAGATTCTAAAACAGGCTCAGCCATGTTCATGTCGAGGAAGAGGATCAGCAGAAGACGATGGTAGGGAAGCTGTTGGAAGTTGGCACCGTGCTCCTCGTGATCTTGAAGTAGACAGCCCGCTATGATGCCTAGGATCTGGTACAACATATTTTTATCATAAATACAATGTTTATATATAATAGAATACTTTTAATGTCCTAGCCTTTCCCTGCTCACGCAGTTTATTAATCTATTATTGCCCTACTCCTAGGTCCTAATACACATCCCCAGAAGATGTACTCAAAAGATAATAAATTCTGTCTCTGTAACTTTAAAATAACAGATTTGCATACAAAACGCACCTGGGCGCAGTGAAGGTTAGTACCTATCTAGTTAACTACATAACTTAAAAACACAAACTATATTTTTGCACAAACAGAAATTTAAACATGTATCTAACATGTTTAAATAAGTTTCGTTTTCGATTTGGGCCGAAAGTAAATTCGACGCCAAAGTTTCGGTGTCTGCTACAAATCCTGTTTCGGTCGGGCATTATTGATTTTACACAATTAAGAGCTGTTTATCGATGATAACATATCACTACAAGATACATTTATAATATTTGTATTTTAAATATAATCTACGGAAATATTCAAATACAAATAAATAAAAAAACGGGTGTGTGTACTTATGTACGCATGTAAGAAGTTATACTTCTTTGGCGTAACAAAACAAAAATAGCTAAAGATTTCAGCCCGTGTCACGACTCTCTGTTTGTAAAAGGAATGCAACTAACTTCATCATGTTCGCTTTTTGTCTGTCGGTGTGTTGCGGGTAGGTATCGTAAAAATTTTACTCTCATATTTTTTTACAAACTTGCTAAAAGAAGTATAACTTGTTATTATAGTTGTTATTGCCTTATTAGGGTTATAATTGGAGTTAATACGAGTCCAAGCAATGACTTATCATTGACATCTTAATCACTTCCATCAACAAAGCAGCTATCAAACGAGCTTTGATCTACGATAAAGTATAGAAAAGTAAATTATTTATTTATCTACTAATCTTTATTGCACATACGATAGAAGGACAAAAAGTACAAGTGCTTATTGATATAGTACATTAGGCATGCGAAGGCGGTTTTATTGCTGAAAGCAATCTCTACCAGACAACCTTTGGTGAGAGGTTAATAAGACGGAACCGTGTGGTGCTATCAAAACATAAATAAGTAAAGAAATATTTAAAAAAAATATACATATATAAATAGCACAATATAAAACTAAAGTCGCTTTCTGCGTCTGTCTGTTTCTCCGCTTACTTCTTCTAAACTACGCGACGGATTTTGATACGGTTTTCACTATACGGAGAGAGCGATTGACGCGGAAGGTTTATGTATATAAATATATTGTACAAAATGACTGTGTTCAGGCAATAATATGGCTAACGCTGGCTAAACATTTCGAGATACATGAAAACAATGTCCTAAAAAAATTTAGATCTTAAAAAACCCTACATAAGACCTCTACTTCATAAGGTACGCTCACAATAACTATATAAAACGCGCCTACTCATCCGAGCGAAGCGAGGTTAAATCGTCAGTATATTATAATACACAAATAACTTGTTATTATGTATTACGTACATGTACCGATAAATACGTATATTGTAACAATGTAAACTGATAAAGAAAACGTTAAATAAACATGACCATAAAAAGACTAAAAAACATACAATATGTGTTATATAAACAGATGGTAATAATAAATAATGCAGTGCGATCTGTTGCCATTACAAGTGCGAATAAACACATAATACAATTTTTTTACATATTATTGTTATGAGACGACTGGAATGCTCTTAAATATATTTTCAATATCGTATGACGTCTATAAATACGAGGCATGCCTTTTAAGTTTTGTCGTTTGAAGAAAAAAACACAACTAGAACCTTATAGTACTTTTTATTGTTTTTCAAAGTATTCACCACGTAGCTTAATACACTTTTCCATTCGCTCAAACCAGTTATTATAACATTTATTCCACTCTAAAGTGGGGGTGTTCAAAATGACTGACTTGAAAGCGTCGACTGCTTCTTCACCGGACTGGAACCTTTGACCACGAAGATTTTTCTTAATTTTAGGAAATGTAAAGAAATCGTTAGGGCTTAGGTCAGGACTGTATGGAGGATGGTCAAGAATTTCTACTTTTTCCTGCTTCAAATACTTAATCGTTTGACAAGCGCTGTGTGAGCTTGCGTTGTCGTGGTGCAGGATGATGCGTCGCTTTGAGTTAGATTTCCGAAGTTCGGCGATGACTTGTGGTAAACAAACTGTGGTATACCACTCTGCGTTAACCGTTCTACGATCTTCAAGTGCAATAGTCGCAACATGGCCGGTTTTTCCAACGAACGTGGCCACCATCTTCTTTGAAGTGCTTCGAGAACGAAAAACTTTAGCCGGCTTTGGCTCGTCTTGAAAGACCCAGATTGTAGATTTTGTTTGGAATCAGGATCGTAGGCATAGATCCAAGATTCGTCACCACTGATGATGTCGTAGACGTGATTTAACTCTCCTCGGTTGAACCTTTGCAGAGTTTTCTTACACCATCTGACGCGGGCCGCCTTGTGATCGTCGGAAAGCAGATGCGGTATCCAACGGCAAACTAACTTTCTCACACCAAGCGCTTCATGCAAGATCTTCTGAATGGTTGTCCCTGAGATGCCTAATAAAGCCTCTATCTCTCGATATGTCACATGACGATCTTCGAGAATTAGTTGTCTCACAGCAATAATGTTATCTTCAGTGAAGGCGGATTTTGGGCGTCCTTCGCGAGATTTGTCACTAACACTAGTATGTCCACGCTGGAATTCTAAATACCAGCGTTCGACAGTCCGCAGACATGGGGCTTCATCACTGAACACAGATATTAGCTCTTCAAAACACTGAAGCCGTGTCAGGCCTCTTCTAAAGTTGTAGAAAATTATTGCACGAACATTTTCCCTAGAAAGATTCATTTTCGTACATAACCTGACAGATTCCAATCGACGCTGTGACTAAACAATAGCATTAATCCTAAAACTTTCAACTGTTTTGAGATTCAAAATTTAAACACATTCGAATATGTAACAGTTCCAAATTCAAAATTGCCGGGAAATATGGAAACGACAGAACTTAAAAGGCATGCCTAGTAGATGTCACTGTTCTAAGCACGTTACGTTGTTGATGTTATACTTATTAATAACACGCTTTTGCAGCTAAATACGATATTTAGGTATATATTGCAAATCCATTTCAACGTACTTCTAACTGTCGTATCGATTTGTGTATTTGTTCTCATGGAGCCAGGAAGCTTCTAGTAAAAAAACTTCGAAGAAGTCCGTACATGATAGTTGATCAAGCGGGTTTTATGTTTTTAAAACTTTTAATAATTTAACATTTTCTTGGATATATACGATTATTTAAGATTTTATATTATACAATTTTTCGCCGTTTTAATTAGATGTCTTAACACCAAAATGATCTCGGGAGAGACTAAGGTCTTAGACGTCTTAAAAATTGTAGTTATCACAGACAGTGCCACAAGAATTATACAAAATGCTACAGCTTTAACATTTGAAATGACTTAATTTGGATTGCCATTATTTTAATCTTTACAATTTTGAATATTTAAAACAAAAACAATAAATAATAGAATCTTTGTCACTTACCTTGTTCAACAAATTAAGTTTCGGCGTGGGATTGCCGCCGTCCGCCGTATTCTTTATCAGGAGAGACACCAATTTGATGAAGGAATCGCACATCGCATAATACTTCTCTCGTTTAGGCGGAACTGGGGGAGGGTTCATCCTGTCCTCGTTTAGTAATTGGTAGACATTTTCTATACACATTTGCGTTGCAATCCTGAAGAAACGTGTGATCATATCATCAGATTTCAGTATGCCGTTCATATTCATTCGGTGCACGTAGATATTGAAGTTTTGTCCAATCTCAATCTCCGTGAGAGGACTGAGAAGGACATTCCTCCACTCGCGGAGAAGGTTCTCGGTTTTTTCCTGGAGACCGGGTGGATCGTCGTACTCTCGAGCCTGACAGGGAATTTGATATATTACACATTTAAATATCGTAATTTATTTGGGGCTACTAATGTATAATCGACATTATGTTGTACTGTGTATATTTGTTACTACCGATTCAGCCTTATCCTTGCTCCGCTCGGGTTCGTCCTTACTTACGTTTTAACGTTTGGTATAGATTTCTCAGAAATGAGATATTTTCCCGCAGTAAAAAGTATCCTCTATGTTGACCCGGATAACCAGCTACCATAACAAATTTCGTCAAAATCCCTCCAGTGGTTTTTCCATGATGCGGTAGCAGACAGGCAGACAGACAGACAAAAATTCTAAAAACTATAGATTCGGCCTCTGTATCGATAATAATGTCTATTTCAATAAGATTTTCCAAAAAATATTTGATGAACTGGTTGGCTGGACGGATTCGGATAAAATTAAAGATTGTTATTTGGACAAAACACATAGATTATTGTTGGGCACAGCTAGGATAAGTCAGTCGCTATCCAATAGATATTAAAATAAAAATATACACAATCATTTACAATATAACATACAGCCATTAACTATAAGATGAAGAGACTCGTCTAACTCGCAATGTATTTCGAGATCGAGTCTTGCCTAAAATACACGTATTATCGTAAAACTATTTTTTTATTTTTGGCTGTACTATTTAAAGTACTAACTCTATGAGGGTCATAAGTTCGATTCTTATCAGGACTAACACTTGTAGGTCATATCATATTTTTCGCAGTCTGATTGTATGTAAAGTTTGCAACTCTAATGGCCGATTTCACCAAGGTCACCTAAGTTTAAGGGATCCCCTAAGCATGGTTAGAGGGCTGTTAGGGGACAGTTTCTGTTTCACCGAAAGTTAGGGGCACCTAAATGTTAAAATGCCCCCTAAATATAGGTACTAGAAATACGGGCTCTGACGCCATCGTCAGATATAAAACAAAATTTAATTTAGGGGCTAGTTTAGGGGAACTTTTAAGCTAGGGATCCCATACGTAGGTGGAAGCTTAAGTGATGTTGGTGAAATCGGGCATAAGACATAAACGCCTCCTTATATTTGACAAATAAGTCCCTATGAAATATTGAGTCTCCAGTTGAATTTATATCTATTTATTTATAATGTATGTCAAAATAGAAATATGGGTGACTTTAAGATGTAAGGTAGTAGGCGTGACGTTGTATGGCCTGTAACCTACCTCAACAAATACGTTATAAATGCAAAAGAACTTTTCAAATGGGGAATAAAAATTAAACACACATCTGCTTTACATATAAGTATAGATTACATAAAAATACTTACTCGCACTTGCACAATACCGTTGTGGATATGCGCAGTGGGCCCCAAGGGTGACCTTTCACCCAAATATGTGCTAGGATCTTGATTTATACGTATTGTTTCTATCAACGTAGCCAATCCTTCTGGTGGGGGCTGTCTCGAGTGGGACATGAGTCTTACTAATGTCTCTGTCGTGTGATATAAGTCGGATTCAGTTGCGTACATACTGTTCCTGTCGTCTACTAGGTACAGTTGTACGAGTTGCATCGCAAAAGCTACAGCCACGTAGTTGTTTCCGTTGTCAAGGAGATGCGCAAGTGCGAGATCGTACTGAAAATAGGTGTTAATGTTGCATTTTTTGCTATCTACTGATATTTAAACTTTTGCTTTATATTATATATCAATAATTTATACAGATTTCTTGAATGACCAATTTGCTATTGTTATTTATTGCAATAGTGAATCCATAGTATAAAAACACTGAAAAGTTATCAGACAATGATGACGACGAACCTTTTCAATTCGACTTCATAATATCTTTCCTCTAAATTACCATGAACTCAATAGGTAAATAAATATGAGTCACATATTAAATATCTTAAAATATTGCCATATCCATATTAAGAAAACTAATTCGACAAACAAGAAACTCGTCATTAGTCCATTCTAAAAGAATAATGATGGTGGCTACTAAAATAGAACATAATTGAGTGAATTGCGCTGTAATAGATGCATTAGAGCGCAATTCACTAACAACTCAACATATTATCTTACTACAGTAAGTACCGGTATTTACGTAGTCTCCAAAAAAACGTAGTTCGTACTAAAATAAACTGAATCTCTATGAGATAGGAGTATATTTTAGCTGGGAAATATTTTACGAATCCTTAAATCAAGTTTTTGTTTTATATTTATTGCTGACAAATTATGTATATATCAGTTGCCAAAAGCATAAAGCAATTATCTTGAATTAAAACAATAAAAAGAAAATGAATAGTAAAAAATATTTAATCAATGTCACAGAGATCAATATCTCTGATATCAAAAGCCGTAAATTATAATTTCATTAGTTACATTATAAACATAGTCTCCTGTACAATATTATTAATCTATTGAAAATAAATACTTAGAAGAACGTGTCTCATCTGTTCTAAAATAAGAACAGAATTTTTTGAACAAAAATACATTTTGTGAAACATACCTGTGGCATATTAACAAGATGGTTTCTCACGAGGCAATCAATGGCTTCCAAATTGTATTTCAATTCATCTCTGGACTCAGTGATACAGTATGTTATCTGCTTGGTAGTCCACGCGTGTCCGTACACTCTAGCATCTTCTAGAAGTTTCAGGACCCGAAGGTGGATGTCACGGTAGCGGGTCATTATCTCTACATGTTCTGAACTCGCTCCTGGTTGGACTATGTGTCCATCGAGTAGACCTTCGACAGCCTATAAGGTGTTAAACGACTAGCATTATCTACACTATTAATATAAAGAAAGAAAGATGTACTTTTGTATGTTTGTAACGAAAAAACTCCAAAAACTAGTGGACCGATTTACATAGAATTTGATAGTTTAAGACCCTGGGCAAGACATAGGATAGTTTTTTCATTTCGGAAATTATCCCTTAAGGGTGTGAAAATGGGGATGAAAGTTTGTATGGGGAATTAATCCAGGGACGAACCCGAGCGAAGCGAGGGTGAGTCGCTAGTGTTTTATTTCTATAAACAACTCGAGATTTCATTGTTTCGTGGCTATACATACTATTGCTTTATTTTAAACGTAAAAATACGAACAGTTTTTTACCGTCCTAAATTATGTTATACAGACAGTAAAAACATTTTCATTGAAGTTAAAAATAACCTATAGCACTCGGCGTTAATGTAACTTCCTATAAGGTAATGAACAAATTTTTGGAATCGAATCATTATTAGAGATAACTCCCTACGTTATAAACTTACAAATATGAATTTTTATATAATTTTAATATGGATAAGTACCTCATTGAATAATGTATCAATAATGTATCAACCAATTACACTAATGTATAAAACAACAAATAAAAAATTATCGTGGAAAGTAATAAAAAATATTCTATTAAGTTTCAGAATAATTAGGAAAAAATACATGTTAAATGACAAAAAACTGTGGAATGTTGATCAAACGTACCCTTTGAAGCAGTGTATATCCAATTACGATATCCCTATTCCGTCTCGCCATCATGATACATTCGAGGAGGGTGTGCATGTTGGTGGCTTGCACTGCAAACGCTGGGAGGTTTACAGCGTTTGAGAGGAACAGTTCCGCTGCTGTTATGAGAGTGCCCATCTCATCAGTACCGTACACCTGCGTGGTTTATACGAGGGAATTTTAAAAATTGACCAAATCTAATGATTTTGATTATGAAAAACTAATGAATATTTATTGATATCTTATTCTTATGAACAGACAAATACATATAAATAAACAATAAACGTCATTAATTTTCCATATACAAAGCGCAACGAAAAATGAAATGAAAATAATACTCCCCCAAAGTTAAGGCTGGAGAACCTAATAAATGTGTTTGATTTACCTGAGTGGGATTCATAACTTGACTAAATGTCATCTGTGGTATTTGTTCTTGAGCCGAGGGTTTTGGGATGAACATGCCCGGATCACGCACTGGCATGAAGCCAGGGATGTTGCAGGCGAACTCCTCATACACAGCAATCTGTAACTCCGTGGGCCCTCCTACACGGAGGCGGACTCTCTCGTGGATCCTCTCCGTCTGGTAGGTCAGCACTATCGGGTCATAGTACCTCCTGCCCTCCTGACGTGCGATCTTTCTCATCTCGTAATCGTTCATCAGCCTCTTGTCGAGCTCAGGTAATGCCTTTTCCACGGCCGTCTTCTGTATGAAGGCGCAGGCCAACTCCATATTCTCTGTCGCTAAAACAGCTGCTGCACTTTCTATAATATCCTTCTGCAAAGCGTTCAACTATTAGGACAAAGAAAAACCAATAGGTAATATACAAGAAGGGAGTAAAATTATGTTATCTCACTGAATAGGGATCTTACCTGTTGTGGTGTGGACGGTATCAGTGCGGTGATGAAGGCGGCCTTCAGGTTGGTGCTGATGGTACTGATGATCTGCTCCCGGCAGGTGATCATCGCCATGCCAGCTGTCAGGTTCCTCATCATGTGGTGGGCACAGGTGCGCATACGTCCCTCATCAGGATCGAAAGCGAAGTCCTTTCTGATGATCTGTTCACATGTCGTCAACGCGTATTTAATCGATCGGTCAACGACTGGGTGGATCCATTCCTGTATGGACCTCTCGATCGCCGGTTTGACGAACTGCTTTAGGTGAGGATAATTTTGAAAGAGAATGATGTGCGGGTTGAAGCATATCTTCTGACCGAAGGCTGACGTCGACGAGACGTTCACGTCGAGATAGTTGAATCTCGGTTCGGGCAGTCCTAAAACGCCCATTAAATTGGGATCGTTCGCTACCAGACCGCTAGTGGGCGTGGGCGCTGCAACAGACAAGTCTTCGGTTGGAATCATTGGCTGTGGTGGAGGAGGCATCATTTGTATCTGCGGCGCTTGCACTATGGCCTGGTTTACTGGAATAACATTAGCCGGAGCTTCTTTGTTCTGTTTCGGTTGCGATAGTTGAAATTCGATGGTTCTCAATTTATCCGGATCCTTTAGGTACAGAGATGGTTTCAGGTCTGTAATGTCCAAGCTTAAGTTTTTACAAAGCACTTCTATTTCAAACTTCAAATTCAGTTTTAGGTCTGGTTCTTGGTGTAGCTCGGCCAATACGTTCATCAGAGCCATGGTCCATGGGTTCGGTGGTTTGAATACGATGCTCTTGGCGCAGGATTCCAAGACCTTCGCAACAAAAGGAACCACGTAAAGGAGCTCCTGCTGGCCTTTGTGATAAGCTTCAAGTAAAAGTGCTTTGAGGTCAAGGTCCACATAAAGGATTGGTTGATTTCGAGCCAAGGTGAGCATGCCTAACCAATGACCTAGATTTTTCAACAGCGATCGGTCGGAGAAATTAGCGATACCTTTATCAGATCGCAGCAACACTCTAATGTTACGATATGTTTCTTTTGTCACCATTTTGTTTATTTCACGAATTTTAAGAACATCAAGGAAATTAGAATACAGAGCGTGGAAATTGAGCTCAATGGAAGCTCGTTTCATAACGAGGTATTGAGACAACCACTGATGATAGTCATCAGTTATGATTTCCTTTAGCTCTTCGCATTTTGTTTGTAGATTGAGTTGACTGAGGTTGTTGAAAATGAATGCAGTCTTGTCTTGAATGGCTTCTGGAGGAGCATTGATCTTTTCATCCCTATCGGTTGCAGTCAGTAAAGTATCGATGTTGGTCGCGTTGGCAATTGATGGCCGACTGCCAATGCCGCCAGCAGCACAGTTTGTAACTTTCGATATAACAGAAATAGGATTGTGGGCGCATACCACGGCCCTGTAAACAAGAAACAATTAATAATATAACAAATTAATACCGATGTGATATAATAAAAATAGATAAGATAATATTAATAGAAGTATTGATCTATAGATATGATAAGTACTTGCCTGTACGGTGCTGAAACAGTTACAACGGCGCTTTGGTTCAACATGGCGGCCAGACTCGTTGGTAGAACAGCCCCTTGCGGCTTAGTCGGCGGCTCTTGGCTCTGCAGTCCGTACTCAATATACTCGATTAGATGCGGCGGGAATTCACTAAAATGTGGTATAGCTTTTACATGCTCACAGTACTTGTGGTAATCCTTCAATCGCGACTTAAATCTGTCCAAAGCCGCTATACCAAAGTAATACATTTTAGAGCCTTCCGGTTTACGTAAAGCGTCTAGGACAAATCTTAAAGCCAGTCCCAATGAAACGTAGCTAGGGACTAGACCTTTCTCTATTATTCCACCAAATAACTGTGCTGTTATATGAAGCTCTTTGTCTGGGTATTGTGGAAAGAATTTATATTCTTCAAAGAGATTTCGGAGCATACATGAGAACACTTCCCGTTCTCTCTTATTTGGCGAGTCCTGGAACTTCTTTAGCATTTCTAACACCTCATCTATCGACAGAGTTGGATGCGGAGGATGATTGTAAATCCTTTGAAAGTAGCTGTTGGCTTCATCTTCGATTTCTTTTGAGACATTATGCATAATTTCCGGGAAATGTATGGGATCAGGTATACGAGGTTTGTCCATAGCTGGAGCTGGTGGCATACGAGCTAGAGCAGACATATTCAGGTTAACGTTGTGCTGTATGGGCATCATTGCGAATGGACTGTTAGGACCAGCTCCCATCAATCTAGACGGAGATCCCGGAGTAGTAACTAAGGGGCCCAAAGTGCCCGGCATCGCAAAGGCTGTATTTGCTGGAGCTCCCAAAGTCATATTAGCGACATTCGGTGTCAAATTCGCAATAGAATCAACGTGAGGCGTAAATAATTGAGCACCTAGCCCAGCTGGATTGAACGGCGTTTCTAGCACTCTAGTATGTGGTCGGGCTATCCCTGCTATGCCAGGTCGAGCTTTACTCAATATCAACGTCTGGCAATTAGCCATCAAATTGTAAATCGCCTCTTGCAGCTCTTGCTGTACATTCGGTATGCACAGTTGCAGGCAAGTCAACATCGTAGCTACAGTCTCTGGGGGTAGTTGAGCTGCTTTAGGCAGCTGTTCTTCTGGTACTTTGCCCAATACTTGTGGGCATCTGCGCTGAAGGAATTTCACCATTGCCGATACAAAAGTCTCTCCGTGGTCTCGTATTTTATCTGTGAGCCATTTATCCAATTTCAGATATTCCCTCCTAGAAGCGAGACACGCCAGGTCGATGACGAATGGGAATGATTGAACGTTTAACAATAAGGACAATGCCTTAAGGTCCTGCGCCACGTCCAATATTCTGGAAAGCTTGGATTGATCGCTTTCACCTCGTATGTACCAATCGGCCATAGCATGCATGATTATAGATTTTATGTTTGGGTTTTGTGAATGCCACGCGTGCTGCAACATTATACCCGAATTAGGATGGTTGCCAAGAAAAATTGGAATCAATGTCGTCAACAGCTCTTGTCTAAATACTGTCACGGGTGGGTTTATTTGTAGTAAGGCGAGCAGTAAGATATCTGGGCAATGTTGTAATGGAAACTTGAATAACTCGTGAACTTGCATGTAATATCCCCTTTCTGACGCATACAGCAACAGCTCAACTAAGTAGAGACAACGCCAAGTCGCAATTTCTTTATTGTCTGTTTCAGGAGGAGATTTAAGCAGATCAATCGATACCGGATGGAATGGATGGTCTGCGAAACTGAATATATCTGGATGCTTGAGGATATTTGAAATCAAACTCATTTGTCCTTCTAGATTAGTCCATCGCCGACAGAGATACTCAATTGGAAATATGTTTGCTGGATAGCCAGCGCTCTGGAGACCCAAACGTAAAATCGCGAACAGCAGACTCAATCCTTGTCTGTCTGGTACTATAAATTCTGGATGATCGAGCTGTAGAATAACTTCCTTCCAATTCAAATTCGATGCTAGCTCTTTAAGCGTTTGAACGAACACTTCAGCATTCCATGTCTCTGGTCCGTGTGCTATAGCGTCTTTCTTAGCTTCGTGATTCATCCAGAAGTTTCCAGGTGTTTGTATCTGTGGTCCTTCTTGTAAGGTCGCATGGTATCTGACCATCATTGAAATGATTCTTGCTATATCGATAGCAGTGGGCTCGCGTGCACCAAAATTAATCATGTTGTTTTTGCAATCTTCGACAGTCGACGTGAAATTGTAGCCAATGTCTCGGATGATTTCGGCAAGAGAGTTATCCATCATGGCCGCTGTCATGTCGTCAGATGTGGTCATCTCCTCAAGAGGCGTCTTAGTGTCGTCCGGGTACAGCAGTGGCGCTAAGATGATAGGCACTACTTCCCGGGGAAAATCGATTCGTAACCGTTTCAAAAACAGGTCCTTCGTCACGGCAGCTAGCCGAAAGTTCTCAAACGCGAGACTAGTTAGCAGAGTTTGCAAAACTTCAGGGCTGCATTCCTGAAGACCTGCACGCTCGACTTGATGTCCGCGTTCTGGGTAAAAAAGTTTAACTATTAAAATTCATACACTATTCACAATGTTTCAAATGAAAAAAAAAATATTTTACATATTTGATTATAGATGTTACAATTTTAATTTTATTTATAATTACTGTTACAACAAAACAGCTCTAACAGTTGAACTAATAAAATCTTTTATACAAAACTTAAAACATGTTTTGTATTTTGGGTACAATTTCATGCTATATGACTAAGACCTGTTTAAGACTTTAAACATTGAGTTTTCATTTTTATTTTATAAACACTAACACCACCATCACATTATATACCTGCATCAAGATAACACTGTACAAAGTCCAAAAATCGTTTCTTTAAATGTTGTTTAGTCAGAGAAACAATCTCAGGCTTTGATGAATATCTTCTCAAAACCAAGGAGAAGGCAACATCTTGGGCCGTTGTCAATTTCAGCAATCTTGCAAGTCGACTGAGTAAAGTATTGGAGGGTTTTAGGACCTAAAAAATAAAAGATTATATTTAATAATATATTAATAAAAGATTATATTTTAGGACCTAAAAAATAAAAGATAAATATTCCCAAACTAAAGATAAAAAAAAAAAGTAAAAAAACATCTTATAAAATTATCAATTAATCTATACTAACTAATATTATAAAAAGGTAAAGTTTGTGAGTTTGTGATGTTGTAGGTGGTAGTCTGTGGATCTACTAAACAGATTTAAATGAAATTTGGTAAGAAGATAATTTGAGACCCTGGGAAGGACATAGGATACTTTTTATCCTGGAAATCATCCCTAAAGGGGGTGAAAATGAAGATAAAAGTTTGTATGGGGAATCAACCTAGGGTCGAACCCGAGGGAAGCGAGGTGAGTTGCTACAAAATAAAATAAAATTAAATTAAATTAAATATCAATATAAGGAGGAAAAATTAAATAGTAATAAAGTAAAAATAAAGCTGTTAATCTTTCATTCAACTTTAAGATGGTTGAATACAAAACAAAGACAATGAGGAAAATTTTGTGACATTGTACAAAGTAAAACCTTGAGTAATTTAACTATGGTGAACTTTAAAATTGATATGAGTAATGTTGATTAATGAATTAAGATGGATTGATAAAAATGTTTATAAAAGAACATGATATGAATTAGGTTAACAAGATTTTTTTTTGCACTATGTGCTTATTTTTTCTGTAAGTTGGGAAAATTATTAAGTTGATGTGCACAGTGAGCCAGATCGAGTAATCACTGTAACACACAGACGAATGAAATTGTTGAGTTATATATTTTAACATAGCTTATTTAAGATAAAACCTTAAAAAAAACAGACAAAAAAAACATTATAAAGTAAAAAATAACTGATTGGTAGTTTTCATTCAATTATAGATACCTAATCAGGTATTTTCGAAATCGGTGTGCTTTGATTTGTATCGGCTGACACCGACTTACTTTCTAAACTGCGCCACAGATTTTCATACGGTTTTCACTAATAAAAAGAGCGATAAAATTATTGAGCCTAGACGGTGTATTTTCTAAAGAATTATTTTTGTACGACATGGCTAACGCTGGTTAAACTTTTCAAGATAAAATAGGAGCTCTTAAAAAGGCCTGCAGAAAAGTAAATGCGATAGCATATATCTATCTCCTAAGATACGCTAACATTAACTATTTTTATCTATATAAAACGAAGCGAGCAAAGCGGTAAATTGCTAGTCTATGAATAAAAAGCTTATAAAGAAACAAAAATGTTTATCTAAATGGTGCAAAGTGTCACGTTACTGAGATATTTTGAGGTACAGATTACTTACATGACAACTATGAAGGCTATTAAATCTAATAGCATATATATGTATGTACTTTATTATTAATCTTTGTAATTATTTCCGTATGGTAATTTTTACCTTCAATATTTCGTAAGCGTGACATTTTAGAACACTAATGCTGATATTTTTTATTATTTTTTTATTATTTAAGTGCGCCGCATGGTTAAATAAAAAATAAAATAGGCGAGAGGTTGTCAATGCCACCAATGTGGGATTGCAAAGTGCAGATACTTGGCAGCTACGAAATTTACATTTAAAATTAACAGGGAAAAGACAAAACACGGTGTGTTTCAATAAGGCTGTAAAGCAAATAAAAAGCATATATAATTTTGATTAGAACATAAAGCACTTAAGATAAAGTAAGGATAAGAAATTACTTATCATAAGAAAAGCGGATAAGGCTTGAAGAGTCAAGATATCTAAAATAATAAAATCAGATAAATTTTTGTGAAAGTTAAATGGAATAGTGACTATGAAATAAATATGTCAATAAAGTGAGAAAAAACATATTCTAGAATCTAACCATAGTGATAATAATATTGTCTTATATAATGAAGACATCTACCTATCCTCAAACATTCAATATCATCATTAGTTAATAGCCTTAGATGGAAAATATTATTGTTCAACCATCTTGTCTATACTAATTTATACTAATATTATAAAGAGATAAAGTTTGTGAGATTGTGAGTTTGTGACGTTGTAGGGGTAATCTCTGGATCTACCAGGGTTCGAAACGATAATTATCATGATGATTATCATGATAAATATGAGTTGATAATTATCTTTGATAAATATAATTAAAAATATTTAATTTGCAACTCTTCAAATTGTCGATCGGCTAACTGAACTCTCTCAATCAGCTCAAAAAACTCAATCAGCAAACTGAGTCAATGCAGTTGAGGAGGATGAGGATGATATTCCACTCATTAAGGAGTCTGCCCACTACACCGTCTGATACCATGACCGTGCTATGAACGTATCAAGCACAGAAACAAGCGACACGGACTACTATGCGCACTAGAACGTATCATTCGCGTATGATCTGCGTGTCATATCCGTATGGTTCTCGTTTTCTCAGTTGTAGTAGTTCACCGGTGTTTTCGTGTGAGGCAGCCGCGTCAGGAAGAGCGAGTGAATATTTTTGTTACGAAAATTATTTATTATACCTATACGATGGCTATTAGAAACTTGTCCGACAAAAAAATAACAATGATAGCCATTGTTTTAGACAATAAAAAAAGAGAATAACATCAGTCGATCACGACGTTACTAGGTTCACGCCGTTTTAAAAAAATATAATTTAAAAGAACATATTATTACTAGAACACAAGCGACAACACGTTTATAACGGGCTTAGAACGGTCATCATAGGCAGTTATAACCCGTGGGTGATCGTTTCGCCGTCCGTGAGCACCGGTCCGGCAACGGCAAAATATTCTTGCCGACATTCCATGCACGGCACGCGACGGTGTTGGTTGGTGACGGAAAGGTCTTGGTCGGTGATGGAACGGTCTAGTGGGCATAGTCTCATACTTTTCAACACAAAGAATATTTTTTTGCCTGACACGGTCCTGTTATGGTCCTAGCACAGTCATGGTATGAGACGGTATAGTGTGAGAGACCTTTAATTTAATTAAATAGTGTCTATATTGTTGTATATCTTTGTGTTTTGTATATATCAAAATGTAGTTTGTATATATCAAAATAATGAAAAAATAATAATACTAAAAGATTACCTTGATTGTTTAAAGTGTATAATTTATTCCAATGTAAATTATGATAGGCAAGTAGTCAAATACCAAAACCTACACAAGGATTGCTAAGTTTATATCTGTTTGATAATTATCTGATAATTATCTTGATAATTATTGCGATAATTATCAGAAGATATATTTATCGTGATAATTTCATACCCTGGATCTACCGAATGATTTAGATGAAGTTTGGTAAGAAGATAGTTTGAGACCCTGAGAAGGGATACTTTTTATCCCGGAAATCATCCCTTAAGGGGGTGAAAATGGGGATGAAAAATTGTATGGGGAAACAAGCTAGGGACGAACCCGAGCGAAGCGAGAGTGAGTTGCTAGTAAGTAATAAAGTCAGGACTTTCATACAAGACTTGAAAAAATTATTTATTACATTTTACCTTCTGCAAAGACTTAGTAGGCTGGTCCACAGACCGGCAGACAACAGTGGACTTGGCCGGATGGTTCAGTAGGGCTGCGAGATGCTGCGCGAGGAGGGATGCGTGGACACTGTAAGTAGTGCCCTGTCGGTCGTTGTCCCACAAGGTCTTCGCGGCTTCAGTGAGCAGACACCTCAGCAGTTGATTCTCTGCTTCCAAGCCATAGAGACTGACAATCTGAACCCAATATTGTAACACATTTAAGAAAACAAAACAAATTTCAAACAGAAGCAAACATACAGCCTCGAAATAAACAATGCCCTCTAATAACTATGAACTGTGACAACATATATGTGCATCTATTTCACCAAATTATAAGAAGAATACTTCACAATATTATAAAAACATTAAACTTTTTTTAGGCTCATAACTTACAGCTAAGTAAAACAAAACATTCGCCAAGATAATGCAACAAGTAGAATGAGTAGATTCATTTTGTATAATTATAATAGTATTAAATAAAACATATTTATAGATACTTTTAAAATATAAGAACTGACCTATCAATTAAGATTCCAATAGCATATCTCTTATAATAATCAAAGTATCAGAAATAATAATTACCTAGTAATTATTTTGATCTCAATAATTTTACATTATACTCAAAAAAATTCGCTGTTAACCTATGCAAATTATGCAAATTGAATACAAATGAATTCATTTGGACAAAAAATGTAAAACATAAAAAAAGAAATTAAATATTTAGAATTTACTTTATTATCCACTCTAATATTATAAATGCGAATATAACTTTTTTTTACCTTTTCATGCTTAAACTACTAAACAGATTTTGATTTAAAAAAATCAGCTATCACATGTGCAAATCCCTGGACAAGACCTAGTTATTATATATATTTTTTAAAACACATATGTGGAAGTAACTTAGTCATTTTAAAAGTGATAAGTATTTCTAGAAACTGAATGATACAATATTCAATTTTCCTTATCACTTATGAAATGACCTGTGTTCTTGTATAATATCTCCATTATTTTTATATATAATAATGAAAATTATTAAAATGATGCAAAAATAAAATTTACCAGTACCTAAGGTTGCACAATATCTTGTTATATATGGCAAAACAAGAATTGAAATATAACTATTTCGCCATGCTAAATAAATTGTCAAAAACAGCACAAAATCCCTTTAAACATAATAAATAATCGCTTAGCATATTTGTTACAACTAAGTTATATTTACACAACAATAATATGCAATGTTTAATGTTTTTATAACAATGGCTTATTCTGAATAATAAAGCAATTTAATGCTAAAAAAACTTTTAGTAAAAGATCATGAGTAATATTTTATTAAGGCCAATATATGTCAAGGTCCATATTATTGATGACCACTAACAAGCTGTGTTGTGCACATATGAATGGTGCATTTATTGTACAATTGCTATCAATTCATATACTATAGGCAGTCCTTGAAGTGATTGTCGCAATCATATAATAACTTGAGACTTTTATTGCAATTGTCAAATGTATATGTAAAAATATCAGTGTAAGCATATCTTTTGAAGTAGAAAAATTTTCATATTAAGACATTAGTCTTATTTGTAGCTTCATATTAAGACATTAGTCATTTTTGTAGCTTCAAATTTCATTTTAATATCAATCCCACACTAATATAATTTATAAATAATTCAATGACTGACTATATTATACAATGAAATTCAATAAAGTAAATAGGTTATAATATTGACCTATTTACTTTATTGAATTTCAAACAAAACATATCATTAAATTACTATAGTAAAATAGAAATGAAAATACAATACTATACAAATTATAATAACCAAATGACATAAGCTATTAAAAACAAATACACTTACTAAAGACAAACACAATCTACTTATTCATTTAAAAAAATACTGTATGCATAAAATGGTTCAACTAATTTGCACACAAATAATGTAAAACTCACATTTAGGCTTCTTTTTGTGAAACATGACAGACATATAAAAGAAAGTTTTTACAACAATTTCTCAAATACACATTTGGAATTATTTCATCAAAAAATAATAATATAAAAGGATTGTTTTATAAACTATCTCAATTACAGTCTACAAACACTAAAAGAGTCCACTGTAATACAATGTATGTTTAACTATTTTTAAATCTTTTGAATATAAATTAGACAGTTAATTCTCATTTAATCCACTTACATGGGATGTCACAGCTTAAAGAATAATTTTTCTCAGTACGATTACAATATACCATGCTTAGATATTTTACATAGATAAAAATGTTTTTGTTAGTGTTAAATTTATGTGAAAATTAGCAACAAATGTAGGAATTTATTATTTCTGATATGTAATTTGCAATAGTTCAATCAAAATAGCAATAATCACTTAAAGTGTTATCAGTAATATGCACATAAAATGAAGCTTTATATTTTACAAAAAACAATATTGGTGTCTTCGTCATTATTTTATATAGTGTCAAAAAAAAGTATTATCTCATTAAAAGGAAAGGTTCTCACAAAGAATAAATGTAACATTTAATCCTATTTACTTCATAACAATTCAAATTCAAATATTTGGTAGGTAAAAAAGTACTACCTAAAAATAGTGATTCATGTAGGTAGTTCAAGTTATTTAAAAATGGACAGTTTCAGCTGTGGTGAATTGCCAAATTAGAATATTTGTGAAAACACACTATTTTTAACAATCATATGTAAAGTATAACATAGCAATGACGACAAAACATTTTTCGTTGAAAAAACTGACATTTTGCATATTGAGCAAAGAGCATTAGTCACGCAAATTAATATTGAACCACTTTATACTGCTCTCCAATAACTGCACTTTGCAATTCTTTATCTACCTACTTAATATTTTGGCAATAGAGCACAGTGCGATAATGCAAACATATAAGCAATCCTAACTTTTACAAAAATACAAGTCCAATTACCAATTCAGCTCGTGGCTCTAACCGTCCACAATATGGCGACAATTGAAAACAAAGACAAACTGTAAAGTACAATATCTTACCTGGGACAACTCTTGATTAGTCTGCTTGAAGTTCTTCTTATTCAAATTTGTAACGAGATAATTGATTTGTGATAAGCTAAACGTTAAAGGGTCCAGGTTCATAGTTCCATTAATGCGAAACCGAAAGCTTCAAACACGTTTGAAGCTTTCTCGATTTTTGACGAATGACTACTGTAAACGTATGTTCTTTTACAGTTTTTTTGCGAAATAACAACAAGCCTAAGGTCAACATCACCAATACTATTTTTCACTTCAAATTTAACATAATTTTAACACCCACTGCGATAGTTCATTACTCGAAAAAATATGTTCAAGATGACGAAAGCACTAGCCAATGTGCTCGTTCGGCCTCGCTCCTCTTCGTACATTTGTGATTCGCCTCGCGTAAGCAATGCTACCAACATTAAATAGTAATGCTGCCATTCAAAAAAATAATAAATGCATTGATTCTGAAATCACTACATTTCACTACATATTAAAAAACAAAGTCACGTTTAATCCTTGCCGCGAGATGTATATACTCGTATGTATGTCTCCGACTGCATAATACTATATTCCTTCGTGAACTTGTTTTCATCTTTTTAGTTAGCTTTTATGCAGTCGGGTTTTTTATTTTTACAATATATGTATTTATCTACAGCTTTTTAAATATTTTTAAGTAGAAAAATTAGCATTGAATAGGTATTTAAAATGATTTTTAAATACCTATTCAACGATACCCTACTTGACATAGTTCATCGATTTTCATTTTTTTCTTTTTCACATTATGGAATCTAGCAGCTCCCCCATATTTTTTTTATGTCACCTATCTAAGAATACCTGGACTAATGAGAAAAATCTAACGATACCTTAATTAAAGAAATCCATCGAGTGATTTGGAAGGTATGGGGGAATAAAGATTCATCCATACAAAGATAGACGCGAAAAATATGACCCTTTCCTTGTAGTCGGGTAATGATTCGCATGTCTCTTGACATTCATATTTGCAACCGCATTCGTGCACTTCATGCGTGTATTTCGCGAATATGAATGTCAAAAAAAGTATGAATAATATTAGATACCTAAATGAAACAAAAAATATTAGTTTGTTATAATTTTATTGAAAAACAACATCATCCGTGTAGGTATGTTCAGATTCAGAAAACAAAGTTTTATGTATTGACTAAATATTATGATTTCTCATAGCCGTTGTAGTTCTTTTTTTTCTCGAATATTTCTTGTTACTCAACCTGCATCTAGCTCGTTCAGCATCGCAAAGTGTAAAACAAGTTCATATTTCAATAGAATTTCATTTGTTCATTTTAACAAACTTTATCACCGACACACTCTAAAGTCTAAACTCAAAATTCACTTGCTTCAACACTTGTTTGACACCGTTTGTTGTATGTGTTTGTACCACTCGGATATCTTCGGATTACAACGGCAATTTCTGGACTAAAGGGGCCTACTCAAAGCACTGCCTGCAGTGCCTGCTTGTAGTTACTGCCGCAGAGGGTGTTGCTCCACAAAGCCCTGCAAGTCATTAGTGCGGCTGCCGTTGTTACGTTCAGTGGTGTTCTCAAATCCTTTCCTAGACTCATCAGTAAAAAAAGATGGCTCCTATATTATCGAAACACCAAAAAATAGCATTGGCTTTGACTGTACTGAGTACTAGTGGTGGCGTTAAAAAGAAAAAAAGAAATTCTTGGTGTAAAAAATGGTTACTACTACGAAAGACTTTGAGTCACGCCAATGTACTGAGAGAATTACAACCTGACGATTTTAAAAACTTTCTTAGAAAGGATGAATCACAATTTGAACATTTATTGACAATGGTGACACCATTCATTGAAAAAGAAGATATATTGATGACAGATACTGTAAGCGCAAGAGAAAGATTAATTGTTACTTTAAGATTTCTTGCTACCGGGGCCAGCTATGAAGACTTGAAATTTAGAGCAATAATTTCACCACAGTTACTATGTAAAATTATTAATATGTAATGTAGATACAGTTCAAATATGTCTCTCCACACGTCTTTTTCGCGTGGACCCCTTTTTCTGATGAAAATAAAGCTTTGGAGACAAAACCAATGTTATTTAAACTATTTTAGTGTAAACAAAATTTGAAACAACCGCTTCTCGACAAAACCAAAAATGTCAAATTGACATTGACAATCGTCGCAAGCATAGATTATACAAAATGGCGACTTAAATCGGCCCGACCGTGCTACACATTGCGCTGCTTGCAGTATTTGGAGTGGGGAGATCGTACGTCGGGATGGCAGAATGACACTGCGGCCCTGCGGCAGGGAGAACAATTAATGCAATGGCAAAGTTTAGCCATAGACAAATGGTGCCAGATATAAGCACTAAATATTCCCATTCGCGAATATCGAGGGCGGATATTCGCGGTCGCGAGTGCTTAAAAATTGACATTCGTTACATCAGTATTTTGATACGTCAATGTTTTGGTCGCAACCTTAAATCTTAATATGTGTAATATTACTGTTATTACCGTTACGATGTGTTAATTAAAATTGAAGAGATCAAATCTATACATATGACAAAATAATAGCTTAGCGAAATCTGTACATGATTTTTTTACAATGAGTGTAACGTATTTTGTACAGAATATAGACCCAAAACAGTAATTATTAAAGTTTTTATATATTTCTGCTCATGTATGCCGTTTCACGCACTATTAAACAGGTTTTAATTCAGTTTTGTGTAGTAATAACCTATTACTCGGGTCAACATTTAAGATACCTTTTACCACAGATTTTTTTGGCATTCTCTTTTAATGTCTTTTAGACAAAAACTTCATAAATTGCTCATATTTCGCAGGTCATAGAGTTCATTGAATTGTAAAACAAACAAAAATAGAAAAAAAAATATATAATAAAAAATATTGTGCAATAATATTGTTTTATTATTGACTTAATCCGATCCATTTATTGCATAACATTGTCCACGGCGCTATTACTCAGCTGTCAGAGCAGACATTGCAAACCAAATCCTGCATTTGGTCGGAATTTAAACCAATCACCAAGCTTGTTTGTTTGTAAGCTCAGAAGTGATTCGTATTTTAATCATATGTCGTTTTGGTTTGAAGTAGGGCCACTTTTTGTGTGGAGTTTGTTCTGAAGTAGACTTCCTGACTTATTATTTACTAGCAAAACCCGCGGTTCGCTTGCGCTAAAACTATAAAAAAATCTCTAAAAAGGTTTTATACAAACTTTCATCCTCTCTTTAACCCACTTATAGGATGAATTTCGAAAAATGCTAAAACATGTATTTACTTCATTTTATTGAACAGCATAAATCCCAAGTTTGAAGAAATGCTGATGATAAATATGTTTTTGGATTGTATTACGTGTTTTCCCGTGGGTATTAGACAATCTCTAACTATAACAAGTAGCTTATGTCACTGTCCAGCCCTCGAACTATCTCCACACAAAAAAATCACGCTAATCCGTCACTCCGTTTCAACGTGAAAGAAGGACAAACAAACAAACACACTTTCACATTAATTATAATATTAGTATGAATTCGTAGGATAAACCGGATATTTTGAGCTTTATTGGTAGGGTAAATCAATGACTGCTTATGTGGCAGCCCTGATAAATTGGCAAATGGCAATACTAGCTATTAGAATTATTTTTGTCATTGTCTGTGGTTGTGAATTGTGATGTAAAATTTGGAGACGACATTTTTATTTAGGTTAGTTTCTGATTTTTATTTCTGGATTTCCAAAAAAATATTCACAATTTTTGTAAAAATAAATTGGCTACTTCAAGTAAATAAATTTATAGTTTTAAGTAATTGTTAATATCTCTATATTATTAAAGATAATTGACACCACTATGTTTTGAATAGTTAAAAAAATGTAATTTATAAGCAAAATTTATCTTGTCATACATTTATCTTCTTTACATAAATGTTATACAACAAGTCGTTAACTATTGTTATTGTATTTAAACATTATTAGATAAGAATATCTTTTCTTTAATTGTGTAGTTACATTGGGTTATATAACAGTTACCTTGCAAAAATCAATTTTGGTACACAAAAATAATTTACAATTAATGTTTTAAGTTATGTGCAAATTAACTTACAAACCATAGATTATTAACCTGAGTTTGATAAATGTAATATGACATTTTAATTTCAAAGTATACGCAATTTATTCCTATATAAATAATATTATACATAATTGCATAACAGAATAAACAAACGGACTGGATAGCCTAAATATGAATTTGGATGACCAAAGTGTAATAAAACTGTGAAATCTTATAATCTCGCAAGCTAAACTGATGTTATTGGAACTTTACCTTCTCTTTTGTGTTTTAAAAGGCCCATCTCTTATTAAGGGATTGAAATACCTTATTACACTGCCTAACTATATATGACATGAAGTTAAAAGATTTATATATTATTTATTTGGTTTCAGTTTATATGGCGATTGTTCAGTTCCTTCGGAGGAACTTAGTGAGCATAACCTTCCCAACATTGGCAATCACATCTATATTCCTTGACTGGAATCACACTAGAAAGTGGAAAGCTCTACAGAAGAAGTAAAAATGGCTATATTTGGAATTACTACACGCTTTGTTTGGTTTGGTGTCCCCATGACAGGATTTTTCATTGGAAAGTACCTTGATGATCAGGAGACCTTGAGAATGACAAATTTCAGGGATAAATCTATGCTATATGGAGGAAGAGTAAAGGAAGGTGATCCTCCATCCTGGCCTTAAATTGGTGGTAGATGTAATTACAATATATGAAAATTGTTTTTAGTAAATTTAGTTAAAACACATCATTTGTTTTATTCATATAAAGTGGCACTTTTAATCTTACTAAGTTATGGTAAGGCCTATGGCCCATTTTGGCAGGCTGCCAGGAGAGGCATGAGCCCTCTATAATTCTAAATCGAAAGTCTATTAATTGCTTCATTTATTATGATAATACACAAATATGTTGTGCACAAAGTGTAACAAGGGGCAGGGGGGAATCATAAGCTTTGTGACGTCAGATTTCAAAATCTTAAGTATTAAAATACTGAATACAATACATTAAGTGTAAATGACAAATTAAAATAAATGTTCTGACTTTATGTTATATAAGGTTTAATTTGTTTTGTTGGTGAGTTCTCACTGGCAGCAACTGGCCTGGTGTACCACGCTGTTGATGTTGATATTATTAAAAAAAACCTATTTTGCAACTGTTGTTTATGTTATTCAGTTCTGTGTACATTGTAAAATATGTGGCGGTGACGGCGGTGGGCGGGTGGCTAATGTGACCACATGTGAAAAGGAGAGAGGGAGGGTTCGAAAATCATTAAATTCGTGTGATGTAAATTTTGGATGGCCCCTAGTATGAATTTAATTTGTATAAATATTCATTTTAGTTTTGCCTTTTTAGCAGGTAGAAGTATTTCTTTTAAGATTTACATTTCAAAAAATTATTTCCTTAGGGGTGGTCACATAGGTACAGCAGCTTGATCTGGGGACTGGGTGATGATCAATCACTCGGAATGCAATTTTATGTAGATATATTCCAGTATGGTCTAGTCTAGTATGTAATAATAATAATAATAAAAACTCTTTATTGCACACACAACATAGGAAGAAATATAAAAAAAAGAAGAATACAGTAGTAGCAAAATGCACAAGAGGCGGCCTTATCGCTAAAACAGTGATTTCTTCCAGGCAAATATATTTGTGGAAATAAGTTCTGTGAATATGAATTCAAGTCTAGAATCTGTCCATCACTTTGATTAACAATACTACCAGTAGTATTGTTCATCGAAGGTTCACCTCCAATGAGTAGATAATAATTAATTATATTAAACAATTATTTATTGCAAATAAAAATAGTATAGTAGGTGCAGTAACGATGATTAAAAAACTAATTTTAGTTTAGATTAACCTAATTTTCAACCAACTTCTTCAAAAAGGAGGAGGTTCTCAATTCGGCTGTATGTTTTTTTGTTAGTTATCTCAGAACTTCATCATTTATTAACTGATTTGGACAGTTTTGTTTTGTTTGAAAGAGTATATTTTCAAGTTGGTCCATTTTAAAAAATAATAATGAAAAATAGATAATGATAATTTTACCTACCTACTACTAATTATCATATTGACTTGAAATTTTGCAGGTGTTTCTATTTCCGTTGATATTGCACTGGTTTGGTATCGTCGACCCGATTTGATGGTAAGGCCAGAAGGTGAATAGGTGGAACCACAGAGCACAATGGTGGAACTCTTCAATGGCTAATAGCAGATACTTTGAGTTTGGGCTTATTTTATTTGACTTGACAAGCCCAATACGTTAGAATTTGGTTTTAGGGCCAGAATTTTTAGTGTGACTAAAACAAGCGAATTTTAGTTTGTCAGTCTTAATATAAAAATTGACATCAAACTAACATATACAGCATAGGTACTTCGACTTTTTCTTACTTTACCGCTACTATGTCTACACTAAAAAGGGAAAAATAAATAATAATAATTAAACAATGACTTCAAATTAAGTTTTTCGGTGTAAGTAATATGTTACTGACCTAGATTATTAAATAATCTAAGGTTATTGACATAGCCTGTTATTGATAAGTATTTTAAATTTCAAGAAGCTCTATCGGATTTACAAAGATTTCATTAGAACTTAGAAGTAATTCTTTTTTGGGTTATATAGTCAGAAGTCACTTCAAATATTGGAAAATGTAAAGTACCTACATAATATGTACTTACATCGATCTGAATGCAAGTAATTATCTGAAATTATTTACTAATTGTAAGTATTTAATTGTGCATGCATTTAATTAAATACATAAATAGACTACCAGTATAACCTGGAGAAACAGGTAGGCTACTGTTAATTAAGCACATAGACACCTGATTATAGAAAAATAATTCGCGGATAGAAGTCATCCCCTATCGGTTATAGAAATATTAAAATAAATTGTGAAAAAATATATCGGTATTTATACGTGGGTAGTATATAAAAAATGTATTATCTATATTCTCAGAAAAAAAGTACTTTTTTATTGGTCTGAGTCTATATTAATATTATAAAATAAATGTGAAAATTTTGTGAGTATGTATGGATGTTAGTTACTTTTTATCATAGAAAAATACTTAAAAGGTTTCCAAGGGATAGATTTGTTTTTGTTTTTCTAATAATATAAATAATATAATAGTAATCTATACTAATTTTATAAAGAGGTAAAGTTTGTGATCTTGTGAGTTTGTGGGTTTGTGAGTTTGTGACGTTGTAGGGGGTAATCTCTGGATCTACTAAATCGATTTTCAAAATTTTTTACCCATAGAAAGCCACGTTATTTCTGAGTGTCATAGGCTATATATTAACCTGAAAAATGTAAAGGCTTTTTCATGGTAGTCGGATTTGCAAAGTAAGTCGGAGAAAAAACGGTCGAACGAAAACGTTTCTTACGAACGCTGCCTTGACGATGAGAGATATATGATTATGTTCTAAAGAAAAGTTGTAGAGCTTAATAATGCCTACAAAAAAGTCAGCGATAGCATATGTCTAACTTTCATATTTAAGTTACAAAAGTAAATTTTTATATTATAAAAATAATTTAAATCGGTAGGTCACGTTTATTGGTCATATTATCAATAATTATGAATTCTTATCAAAATAAGTAAATTTATCGTCTAAAATGTTTAAAACAAAAGACTTTTCCCTTTTACTGCATATAATTTGGACAAATAGTTAAAGAGATAATACAACATATTCGTAGGTATGGACGAACCCGAGCGAGCTGTTTGTCTGTTTTTCTGTTTGTACGGGCTAACCTCCGAATCTATTAGACCGATTTAAATGAAATTTTGCATAATGGTACCTTATATCCCCGGGCAACGCTAGATACTTTTCATCCCTGAAAATTAAAGAGTTCCCGTGGGATAGTTAAAAAACTATAACAGCTTATACAGCTTAGTACACAACAACTTACGCACCTAATTTAGTAAAATTTGGCATGCTGATACCTTATATTGCCGATCAAACAACAGGTTACTTTTCATCCCAGAAAAATGAACGGTTCCCGTGGGATATATCTGTTTGTGCTTTTCTAGAGGTGAACCCGAGCGAATCGAGGGTGAGCCGCTAGTTTACATATAAATTTTAAATAAAACATTTTTTAGGTATGTGAACTCCTCAACAATTTCTCTCTTAATATTATAAGCGCAATAGTTAGTAATAATTTTATGTGTCATCCAAATGGTAAAGATGTATTCATTTATTTACATAGGTATGTATGTTACTCTTCGCAGTAACTACTAAACAGATTTTTTCGAAAATTGACAGTCATCTCATACATGAGAGTAACACATAAGCTACAATTTATAAATATACAGTAAAAAAAATAATGGAAATAGGTGGACGGCGCTGCGGGGCCATTTGCTACTAAGATAAAAAATCTGATAGACCTATTTCCATATGAATTCAGCAGTAGTGTGTGTTCACCTTGTCATGGTGGGAGAGGCTTATAGACATAAAGGTGGCCCACTTCGGTGGGTGGTGTACCATACGGGTTGCTCCTGGTACTTCTTTGACAGCAGAGTGGACCGTGGGAGCCACTCCTTGGTCGTCGGGGCGTCGTGGTTGAGGGCTTAAGCGAACCTGCGTCACTCCATTAAGACGTGGATGGTTCTGTTGGGTTTTAGTGGGTAGTACTAGCTTTTCTAGCCAATGAGTTCCACATAACCAGCTGTACGTATACAGGTGGTATGTGTAAATGCATATTTTACATTTTACCAAAAAAAAAACCCTACTTGATTCTTTCAGATCAAGTAATAAATACTTAATTGGATTCTGTTATAATAACCACAAACTATACAGAAATAATAAGTATAACCAACCCTGCTCACTGGGTGACTTCGATTTAATAAAGAATTTATATATGTAGCAATATACTCTATGATAAAGAACTAAGAAGCCTAAGGTACGTTTTCATTACCATTTTTATCGACTTCGTGGAAGTTGTTCGCCTGTATGTATTTTTTGTGTATGTTCATTGATTACTCGAACACGAATGAACTGATTTGGAAAATTCTTTTTTTGTTTCAAGGGGTATACTTTCCATTTAAATTTTATCGAAATCGGTCGAACAGGGCGGTTTTAAAAAAATCAAAAAGATTATTTTTAAATAAATGGCTTAATCGAATATGTTATTAAAAAAACTTTCTTCTTACAAATTACCTGCCTCTTACGTCTATACTAAAAATGGGAAATTAAAAATTTAAAACCGACTTCCAGGCACTAAAAAGTAAAAAAATAACTAAACGGGGGTTTCATTTAGAATAGATACCTAATCAGATATCTTCGAAGTCGGTGTACTTTGATTTGTATCGGCTGGAACCGACTTCGAAAATATCTGTTTAGGTATTTATACTAAATGAAAACAGCCGTTTAGTCATTTTTTATTTTTATAGTGCCTGGGAATCGGTTACTATTTTTTTTAAGGTTTTTCGAATTCATATAACCTCATAAAGTTAAAGTTTATTTTTATCCTAAATTCGCTCAAATAATCTTGTCTATGGTGTTAAGGGTTTCTGTGGAATATTCAATATACTTTTAATATCTGTAGTTAAGAAAAATCTGTCTCAATTTTTACTCTGTAATAATGTGTCAACTCTTAACTGTCAACTTCTAAATAATGTCACATTTATTTTCAATTTTTATTACATGTCGAAGATGTGAAGATATCTATTACAACATATTTCAAAACATATTTAAAAGGAATTTTAGTGTTACCAACAATATATATACATAAAACACTATATATCAAATGTTATCATTAAAAAGGTTGCCGACGTTGTCGGCCTCAAAAATCCAATCAAAAGTATACTTTCATTTAAGAAATGGGGGTGTCGAGAAGCAGATTAGTAAATATTGTCACTATAATTTATTTAATATTTGTCGATCAATGTCTGTACTCCATAGCTTGACTAATAAGTCCAGGAATCCCGTAAGTATTTTATAAGTCATATTAATCATTCTGCAAGTAATTATTAAAATTGTGCAATTTTATTATTTTTTTTCATTTCATATTGTTTATAAAATTAGTTATAGCATTACAAAAGTACACAAATTATAAAAAAAAATTTTCAATTACCAAAGAATTCTCAATTTTGTTATTGCACTTATTGATAGTACAGATTACATACTCCTATTTTTATTATTTTCTATTTTTACAGCAATTACGACATTTTAATGCCGAATACAAAGCAGTTTCCACTCTCTTGAAGAGGTCTAATTTGCCAGGATTAAATTCACTTTGTAGCACAAGTTTTAACAATATACACACAAGCTCAACTAATAATAAAGAGGAAAGTGATAAAGATAAGGTAAAGAAAGGTCTTAGTTTACATTTACACACGTTATTACTTATACATATTATGCGTTATCCAATTGTATTTTCCTTATCATTATTTTGAGACACATTTTAGAAAGACCCTTCCTTATTCTTGCCCTTTAAATAAATATTTGTTATACTTAAGTCTTTAAAAACTGAATTATACAGTAGGTATGTAATAGACACTATTTTATTTCAGGACAAGAAAAAAAAGGAAAATGATGAACCAAATATATCATCTTTGCTGATAAAGGCAGCATTTTGGATGTTGACAACCTTTACTTTAATAATTCTTAGTTCCTTTTTAGTTCCTGGAGATAACACACAGAACGAAGTAAGGTTTTGTAACTTTTATATTATTTTATTACTAAACAGAATATTTTAATGCACTTATCATACTATTTTTAATATAACACTATTTTGAATTTCAATTATTCATTGCTTGCTGCTTGTATTGTAAATTAAATATCAAAATAAATATATAATGAGTTAGTGTTTTAAAATTTGAAGTAATAAATCTATCTATCTATCTATCTATCTAATCTTATAATAATGCATTATTTATATCTTTTTATAATTTGATAGATTTCATTAAATTTTATATCTATAATTTTCTTTTACTTTTTGGTAATACAGTGAAGTAAACAGTAGAATCAGAATTAACCATATTTTTTTTGTCTCTTAATTGAGGAAATTTTATATAATACTCTTTTAGATTTATGTGAATATTTGATATTAAAAAAAAACTATCCTGTATCCATGATTGCTGTAAAGCATTTGAAACATCGGGAACAAAAATCAAAATAAATGCATAAAAAAATGTGAAAAATAGTCTTATTTAATATGAATTTTATATTTCAAGTCTTTTAACCTACCCATATTCTGTTATTGTAGCTTATCCGATATGTCTCCTGGAATGAATTTGTTTACTCAATGCTCTCAAAAGGGGAAGTGGAAGAGATCATTGTGCGACCTGATTTGGAAATTGTTACCATTATCTTGTATGAAGGAGCTATCATTAAAGGCAAAAGGGTAAGTTGTATCTTCATTAATCTCTTAGCGCAAGCTCCAGCCCTTATATCATTAATTCTGCTATATATATGTATATTGATTAATTATTGTTTTCAAATTTCCTTATTTTATATTGTCATTACACTCAATAGTTATGATAATATGTAGAACAAACTGATTGAAGCTTGATTCTCTATAATCTTATCCTACCAACTATATTTGCCTATTTTATCCATGATTTAGAAAAAACTAAGTAAGATTTTGTAATTTCTATATTATTTCATCCCCTTATGGCCTGATTTCATAAATAAAACTACCCTATGTTCTTCCCTGGGTTTCAAACTATCTTCATACCAAATTTCATCTAAAAGCCATCTCCCAAGCCAAGTTAGAGTGCATAACTGCTATGATGCTATGCTTGATCATTCATCAGTCATTTCGAATACTTTTCCCACAGTGTTTTAAAAGGAGAGAGATTAGAGACTGCACTTGTGTTGGCGCAGACAAGTCAATACATAAATATCTTCCACACTATGACTATTGCTAGTTTTTAAGATCACTCTAACCTAAATCAGTCAAGAGACTTTATTATTTCTTGTCTATACATATATATAATAAAATTCTAACTGATTTGAATCTGTACATTAACTATTTTTTGAAAAATTTTATTTGAAAGACTCATTATTATCTATAATTTTTAGAATTTTTGTCTGTCTGTCTCTGACGCCATCACGAAAAAAAGACTGAACAGATTTTGATGAAATTTTGTTTGATGATAACTAGTTATCCGGATCAATATATGGGATACTTTTTACTGCGGGAAAATATTTCATCTCTGAAAAATCTATATTAAACGTTAAAACATAACTAGGGACAAACCCGAGCGAATTAATAATATGAGTATGTTGTCCCTATTTCATTAACGTATACTCATTATATTCTTCGTTACGATTCTGTTGGCATAAACCTGTCGTTAAATATATGAGGAAAAAAATTATTTACTTATAATAAGTGTAATAATAATACTGTTAGTGTTGAAGTGCTATGCTAGTTCAAAATTAATGATATGATGAATATTACAACATAATGTCTCTTTTAGACACCACACCGTGTGTACCATATGAATGTTGGCAACATTCACCGCTTCGAAGAGAAGCTCCGTGAAACAGAGAAAAGTTTAGGTGTTAAAGAAGGTATTATTGTAATTATTATATTTAAATTGATAATGCTTAGTAACAAACAATCTCTCAATTAAAAAGAAACAATTGTATACATACATTTAGTATATAACTATGATACTTGTAATATATGTAGAAACTTATAGAAATGAGAGTACTAGTTGGATTTTGATTTATTGACGAGAAATTAGTATCTTAAATGAAATGACTTTGCCATAAGGCATACCAAATGTGTCTAAAACATATATATTTTTAGAATATATAGTAATATATTTAAACTATGATTCTATTACAATTAATATTATTATATGTATAAATATATAAATATATGAATGCTTTGTTTGTACAGGTGTCAGAGTAATATATGACAGAAATGGAAGCGTTGCTGGCAAAATCTTCACAACATTGCTCATCGCTGCTGTTATACTTTCTTTCCTGTATTCAACGAAATCTATGAAAATGAACATCAATTTGGGCGGTTTTGTAAGTAAACTATGGATTTCTATAAGGGCGTGTTAGCATTTAGCATTTACTAGCGAGGTATGAATAATACCGTAATACATTATTTTTATATAACTATTGGTTTACGCTCATAAGCTAAGTAAGTAACTTAAGTAAAGCTCCCAGTCGGCGTGATTTTTTTGACATCTTTAACAATCATCATCATATTTTAGCCAATGTACACAAAACTTTAATGAATTATACACATAAACTTTTCTCATAAATCACTGCGTGAATTAGTGAGAATAGTGTGAAAATTCGTTTGGTAATTTTGGAGTTTATCGCGTTCAGACAGACAGACGCGGCGTATGTACTTTGTTTATAATACTCGTATGTATTTACTTACATATCACTATAACGTTTGTATTGTATACATATGTCGCATGGAAACTGTAAAAACCATTAAATAGGGTCTTGGACTGTAGTAATAAAATGATATGATGATTTGTATAGCGGTAGTTTATGGGGCTAGAATTCATTATTAAAAGAAGTAATTAAATAAAAATCATGATTTTTCTTTATTTTTAACATAATTAATAATTTTTTTTAATATCAAAATCACGTGACTACAAACGCCAATTACGGTGCGTGACGTCACTTACCATTGTCATTAGTGTCAAGTGTAGTATTATATGATCTGTGCTAGTTTATTGTTTATACTAGTTTCGAAAATTCAATTCTCTGTAATCTCAAAGTTTTAATCGTTTAAGTAAAGTAATATTTAAATTTACTTACGTTCCTGGTCAATACCATGGCGAACAAATTTATTCTAGCTGGCAACTCAAATCATGTATCGAAGTCATGATGGTGGCGGAATTTGTCGCTAAAAACCCTGATTTTATTTTGTTTTTTATTTTATCTATCTAAGTACTAGGTATTACACAAATTAAAAGGTGTAAAATCTGATTAGTCTTAAAATAATCCAAGGAACCTAAATAATCTCTAAGCATAACATCATAACAAAATACTGACTAATAGTAGGGGAGCCCAAGAGGGGATTTTCTGTAGTTACTCGAGCGCGGCAGATTAACATAAAAGAGGTTACCTTGCACTTTATTGAGTACTTTCACCATAATATAAGTCTTCTATATAAAGGGGCGCGTCTAGGGAAGCCGATTAAAATATTTAAAAAATGTTTTGATAAGGTAGAAATACTTGAAACCGTCAGATTAAGGTGTGGTAGGCTAGTCACATCCTGAAAAGTGTCCAATTCAATAATCTGCCGATTTGCACAAGCCGAAGAGGCAAAAATCGACTATAAAGTTTATGATGATAGAAGACTTATATTGTGGTGAAAGTACTCAATAGAGTGCAAGGTAACCTCTTTTATGTTAATCTGCCGCGCTCGAGTAACTACAGAAAATCCCCTCTTGGGCTCCCCTACTATAATAACATACCAACAGCAGTGACCAGTGTCGCGTCTGGCAATATGTAAGTATAGTTCAATGAATATTTTATACTGTAATGTATACATACTTACATCAAAATTATCTTTATAGACGTAAATCATTGATTTTATGGATTGGTTTTTCCAGTCTCGCCTTGTGTCTTATTGGTATTATTTTCACATAAGGGCACTGAACAATACTGATAATACTTAATTGCACTCATTTTTAAACGACTTCCAAAAACGAGGAGGTTCTCAATTCGTCGGAATCTTTTTTTTTTGTATGTTCACCGATTACTCAAAGACGCCTGAACCGATTTGGAAAAATTTTGTTTCGTTTGAAAGGGTATACGTCCCAGGTGGTCCCATATATGTAAACTTTATCGAAATCGGTCGAGCGGTTTTTAAAAAAATCAACAATAAATATTTTTTTATAAGCAAATTGCTTAATCGAATATGTTATTAAAAACTTTCTTCCTACTAATTACCTGCTTATTACGTCTACACAATTTTTTTAAAAATAAACACTTTTTAACAAAAAATTAAACCGACTTCCAGGCACTAAAATGTAAAAAATAACTAAACGGGGGCTTTCATTTAGAATAGATACCTAATCAGATATTTTCGTAGTCGGTGCCAGCCGACGCATAGGAAATCTAATATATTTTGATACGTAAAATACATTTTTACCTATTAGATATTTATATCTTAAAATATTGTCCGCTGGCACCGACTTCGAAAATATCTGATTAGGTATCTATTCTAAATGAAAGCCCCCGTTTAGTTATTTTTTACATTTTAATGCCTGGAAGTCGGTTTATATTTTTGTTAAAAAGTTTTTATCAATATTCTTGTTCCCTTTTTAATTAATAATTAATCTATCGAGCCCACAGATTACTGAATATAATCGAGCTCTTTATAGTCTACACACGCTCTGTATGATAAATGACGTCACGCTGGATGATTGTTAAAAGAGTGGCGTTTTAGCGCCAAACTCAAAAGTGAAAAATAATTTTCGATTTTTAACATAAGAATACAGTAATTTCTTCGGGGAAATATTTTAAGCAGCATTTTATTTATGTAAACAATAGGCTGAGATACTTTTCATAAAATAGTCCAAGACCCTATTATAATTTCACTAGTGAAATTATTATAATTGTTAGATATAATCTTAGATTATTCTTATTTTATATCTTAGGTAGTGGAATCCATACACTCATACTTAATATTATATATTCACATTTACTACATATTCCCTCCACGACCGCGGACACGCCGGCGTGTCAGTTAACAATATATTTCTTAGAATTTTAATTAATTTCTTAGAAATGTGTGTTTGTTTTTTTTTGATTGTCCGTTTGTCTTTCTTTCACGTCGAAAGGGAGTGACGGATTGGAGTGATTTTTTGTGTGCAGATAGTTGGAGGGCTGGAGAATGACATAGGCTACTTTTTAACGCGGGAGATTATCTACTTCCCACGTTAAAATTGTTATAATACAATCCAAAAAAATATTTATAATCGGTATTACTTGTAACTTGGATTACTTGGAACTTGAAATTAATGGTCTTCAATAAAATTAAATGAATAAATGTTTTAGCATTTTTCGAAATTCATCCTATAAGGCGATAAAACAATGGATGAAAGTTTGTATAAAACTACCTTTTTAGAGATTTTTTTGTGGTTTTTGCGCGGGCGAAACTGCTGATTCTGCTAGTTAATGATAAATAATCATATTTCAGAGCCAGTTAAGGCGAGCAAAATTCACACTCGTTGACTCAATGACTGGTCAAGGAAAGGGCGTGAAGTTTGAAGACGTCGCCGGCCTTAAGGAAGCTAAAATCGAAATTATGGAATTTGTGGACTATCTGAAGCGACCGGAGCACTATAAGAGTTTGGGGGCCAAGGTACTTCGTTTGAATTAAATTAAAGTAAGGGGGTAAAATAGGGGATGAAAGTTTGTATGAAACTACCTTTTTAGAGATTTTTTGTAGTTTAAGAGCGAGCGAAGCTGCGGGTTCTGCTAGTATATTATAAATGTCTAATATATGTATAATGTATAATAAATAATAATAACATAGATGTAATTTTTTTTATTCATATTTTAACATACACATTGTAGGTCCCCAAAGGAGCTCTGTTACTAGGTCCTCCTGGCTGTGGTAAGACCTTATTGGCTAAGGCGGTGGCCACTGAGGCCAATGTGCCCTTCCTGTCCATGAATGGTTCGGAGTTCATTGAAATGATTGGTGGTTTAGGAGCGGCCAGAGTAAGGTGTGTATTATATTATTTTATACCGTTTAATTTTTAATATTTTATTTTGTTTCGTTAGTAGATAATATTATTTGTGTGAATGTATGGACCTTTAAGCAATGCTTGTTATGCTATATAGTGTAAAATTATAAAAATATTGCGTTTGGGCTACCTATGAAAAAAAATCAGAGTGATCACGGTTGCAGGCAGAAAGAATGAAAATTTGAGTGATTTTTGTGTTTTCTGGCTGGCATTTATTAAATTTAAACTTTATTGGTTAGTCATTGTTCTAAAATATCATATTTTTTGTGAAAGGACTGGGAAATAGCTCATATTCTATACCAGACAATAGGCTAGGTTTTATTGACGCGTTTACTATACACCAATTTAGTGAAATCGTGGAGAAGAGCCAATATTCAACAATAACAACATCCAAAATATCGTGTAGCTGCAAAATACGGTGCTCAAAACTATCGAGAGTATTAATACATAGACAGTGTATAGGTAAAAGACGGTACTATCGATGAAGAGACGTATCTCAAAAAATCTAGATTGCTTAAGCTAAAAGAGCTACGAGTAATAGGAATGCTTTGCGATCCAAAAGCAAACTTGTCAAAATCAAAGTGTATGTAGCCGTAATAAGAGACCCGCAATAACGTACGGAGAGGGATTCTGGTATCAACAAAAATCCGACAAGCTACGCGCCGTCGAAATGAGAATGCTCAAGTGGTCTGCCAGAGTCACGTTTTAGACAAAGTGCCATTTTTATTTTTTACATCAGAGGAGCTTTCAAAGTACTTCCGATACAGCAAAAGTAAGCGGAAATCCGATTGTGATGGTACGGCCATGTATGACGAGACCGGTAGATAATCAAGAACGTGCTTAGCCATAAGTTAGGGCCAAAACTGACAAAAAATAAAGATATTGACCTAATGACGACTCACAAAAGAGCTCTGGAGAAGAACGATTTAGAAGAGCTGACCCCAAAGAAAGATAGAATAAGACCAGAAGAAGAAGAAGAAGAAGAACATTATAAACACACTAGGGGCTTATTATCGTATCGCTCAAGTGCTCAGATATCTATAGCTATAGAATATAGATAAATGGTAAGCAATTCGTATTCGAACGTGTACAACAGGAGGGCAACTTTGTTTGTCCTTAAATTATTTTCAGTGGAGGAGAAACCTTTCACGGGCGTACGCAGAACAACTCACCCAATTTTCATTAGGTATTTTGATCGGTTTTTAATGAGTCCCAAACATTTTAATTCGTCAAAAGCGTGTTTTTTTAAATCTATATTTATATAGGTAATAATTTACATTCCAGGGATCTCTTCAAGGAAGCATCAACCCGCATACCCTGTATAATTTATATAGACGAGTTGGACGCCATAGGCAGGGCACGATCCACGGCCAGGGGTCCGGGGGGTGGTGAGAGTGAGCAGACCCTCAATCAGCTGCTGGTAGAGATGGACGGCATGAGCAGTCGCGACGGTGTGGTTGTCCTGGCCTCCACCAACCGAGCTGATGTTCTGGATAAGGTATCATGGTTATCATTGGTTACTTTAAAATAGTTAACTCTGTAACTGGAAAACTGCCTCGGTAGTCTTGTGGCTAGCGTGTGCGGCGAGGTCTTGGGTAGTTATTGGGTTATTATAGTTATTATAGTTATTGGGTAGTTATAGTTATTATTGGTTTGTTCTGTTAATTGTTAAAGGAATTCTAAATAAAAGTCTGGCGTTGCGAATTTGTCGCTTTTTCCCCCCCGTATCTGTCTCTCCCGTGACCATGATTGCTGTAAAGCATTCGAAACGTCTGGAATCAAAAATCAAAATAAATCCGCGGAAAAGTCTTAAAAGATAGTTTTATTTGAAATATCAAATATTCCCGTAAATCAAAGAAAGTATTGTTGGTAACGTCTTTAAATTACTCGTTCTTTTTTACAATTATTTAATCAATTCACATGTGTGTGCGTGTGTACATATATGTACACATACACGTGTAATATAAAATTGTTATTTGTTATATGTTGTATGTCTAAACTAATATCATAAAGAGCTAAAGTTTGTGAGCTTGTGATCTTGTGAAGTTGTAGGGGGTCATCTCTGGATCTACTGAACCGATTTAGATAAAATTTGGAAGAAGATAGTTTGAGACCCTGGGATGAACATAGGATACTTTTTATCCCGGAAATCATCCCTTAAGGTGGCGAAAATGGGGACGAACCCGAGCGAAGCGAGGTTGAGTCGCTAGTTATATATAAAATTGTTTTAATTATTATTTATTTAATGCCACTAGGCTTTGCTGAGACCGGGTCGCTTCGACAGACATATCCTTATAGACCTGCCCACGTTGAAGGAACGCGAGGAGATATTCGAGAGGCACCTGAAGAACATTGTGCTGGAGAAACTACCCAACTATTATGTTAAACGGTGAGATTTGCTTTGTGATTTTGAACAGGTGATTTTTGGTTCGACTCTCTTTATCTAATAAGTAGTGTTATAAGTCCTCGAAATTCGATTATAATCATTTTTGAATTTATACTCCTTTTGGCACGTTTGGAAAAAATATTATAGACAAATTTTTACAATGCGCGCGCACACCGACAGCCGAAAAGCGGCATGATGAAGTGAGCTGAAAGTGATGAAGTTAAAGTTGAAGTCCTTTTACAAACAGAGAGTTGTGACAGACGGGATGAAATCTTTAGCTATCTTTGTTTTGTTACGCCAAAGAAGTACGAGTATAATTTGTTACGTGCGTACATAAGTACAAACGTTTTTTTGTAGTTTGAACGCGGGCGCAGCCGCTTGTTCTGCTAGTTAACCGACTTCAAAAAGGAGGAGGTTCTCAATTCGATTGGTATTTTTTATAATATATATTTCATTGTATCCATAGGCTAGCATACCTAACTCCTGGCTTCAGTGGTGCGGACATAGCGAATGTATGTAATGAGGCAGCTCTGCACGCGGCCAGACACAAGCAGTCCATAGTTAAAGCAACGGACTTAGAATACGCTGTTGAAAGGGTCGTCGGTTAGTATGATACCTGATATATTTTGTTAATTGCGACATGTCCTTGCTTCGTTCGGGTGTGACCGTATTCATATAATCAGTATATGTATGTGTTTTTTTAAATAAAACTATGTTTTCGGATTTATTCGCGGATTTATTTTGGTTTTTGGTTCCCGACGTTTAAAATGCTTTACAGCAATTATGGTCACGGGAGAGACTAAGGTTTTAGATGTCTCAAAGGCACTATATGTATAGTTATTACAGACAGCCTACCCACAAAATGACAAAATAAATTCAAAACAAATTAAAAATAGCACCAAAGTACCTTACAATATTTGTTAAATTGTAATAATTATAATAATAACAGTTTAAATTAAATAATATTCCATATTCAATTATAATTTTTTTTTATTATAAACGATTGTGAATCGCTAGTATAAAATATATTTCAATTGAAAGAAATATTAACAACAATTTTATTATATATTTCCTATTCCTATTCTTTTACATTATACATAATATAATACATATATATAATAATACATATAAATAATATTCTTATTCATCTCACAGGTGGTACAGAAAAACGTAGTCATGCAATGTCGCCCGCCGAGAAGAAGATAGTTGCATACCACGAGTCCGGCCACGCGCTAGTAGGCTGGCTGTTAGAACATACAGACGCCTTGCTCAAAGTTACTATAGTGCCTAGAACCAACATGGCATTAGGTTTTGCTCAGTATACTACGTCTGATCAGAAGTTGTATTCTAAGGAAGAGGTGAGGTGTATTTTTAAATGTCTTTGTGTAGTCTGTTTGGGAATTTTAAATAAAACTATTTTTTACGGATTATTTTGGCGGATTTATTTTGAGTTTTGGTTTCCGACGTTTTATATAAAACCTTAATCTCTCTCGTGACCGTCATAACTGTAAAGCATTTGATTTTTATTTGCGAAAAAAATCGAAAGGATAGTTTTATTTCAAACGTCATATATTCGCGTAAATTTAAGGAAGTATTATTGTTTGGGAATTTTATTGTTAGGGACTGTATTGGCTCTTAAAATGTCTTATTATCGCTTTCTTTATTTATATTCTAATAATAATTAGCATTCTGACTCGATACATAGAGAAGCTATGCTAAAGGAGATTATATCCTTATAAGAATTTTATAATTTTTACGGTAACGTTCAATCAATGCGAACCTGGATAAAACTTCGTCCCTTTTTGATCGGGCTAGAATCTAGATGTTCTAACAACACCTAATATGTCAGTCCTTTTTTTTTAAATTTTTGGGAGTGTATTTTTTTTGTGAATTCATTAGGCAAAATGTCAAATACTCACAAAACATGTTTTCCAAAATTTATTTTTAAAAATAAATATAATAATAAGAAATAAATAGTTGGGACATTAACGCTCAGCACCATCTTGTTCCATGGTAGACTACGAGGAATGTGTTATGGATACCAGATAGACACTACACATATATAACTTTAAATACATACAAATTATAAATATAAACACGAACATTCGTGCTCATCACTCAAATGAAAGCCCCCAGCGGCACTCGAACCTGCGACGGCGAGCATAGCAAGTAGGTTTACTACAAACTGAGCCAAACGTGTCGTCAAAATTGAATTTGAACCTTTTGGTCACTAATTTGCTCAAGATTTGGCCACCAGAAGTTTAATGTATGTAATAAAGTATGAATAGATAGATTTGACTTTTGATGCTTACAATAAAGTACCAATTTCCATCACACATTACAATTTTAATATTAAGCTATGGGAGGTCAGCTCACAATTTAAAACTTATTTTATAAGTTCCTCTATACATTCTAGATCATAAGCACTAACAATATATAAATGGAAATGATATATAACTACTTATATACATATGTATGTATTTACAATAGTTGTTCGATCGTATGTGCATGGCGTTGGGCGGTCGCGCTGCAGAGGCAGTTACATTCAATTCCATAACGAGCGGTGCTCAGAATGATCTAGAAAAAGTCACCAAAATAGCCTACTCACAGGTAAATTATTGACGTTTACAATGTTTTTTAGTAATAATGTACTCTGAATGTGTTGAAATTTTTAAAATTTTAGTTGATAGCTATTAAAGTCATAATTAAAGTAAATTTGCCATTTTAGTTATTAGTCTATTTTCACAAATGAGAAAATACTCAACTTGGCTAATTCGTTTGTCATGTTTCTTCACTTATTATTTTTTTCATATTTCTAGTATTGTCTGGTGTTCCCAAATAAATTTGAAGATAAAATCCATTCATAATGCCCTAATTATATTTGAAATTATCTTCGATTTGGTGTACTTTTTTAATCAAACCGTCGAAATCGATTCAATTCATAATTTCTAAAATGACAGGTGCGAGTATTCGGAATGTCACCAACTGTAGGACTCGTGTCGTTCCCGGATATAAAGGATAGAGAGAAGAGCCCTTTCAGTAAAGCTTTGAAGAACCTCATAGATATGGAAGCAAAGCAACTGATAGCGAAAGCGTACTATCACACTGAGGACCTCTTGAGGAAAAACCAGGACAAACTGAAAGCTGTGAGTAGAGTTATATTGGGGGTATTTTTACCTAAAGAATTTATATCTATACAGATAAATAAAATTGAAGTGTCTGTTTGTAATGTCAAAATAATAGCTTTTTACTAAATGCATATGATACGGTACTTATAGGAAAACGCAATTTTAAAATTTTTTGCCGTCGGTTTATCTTTTCCGGCTAATCGGACGAATTCCAAAACGGCTAGACCGATTTTGACGGGACTTTTGCTAAACTTAGGCTACTTATTTAGAAAAAGAATTAGGGTTCAACTCAAAAAAAAATAACATAAAAAGGTACGTTACTTAGGGACGCACCCGAGCGAAGCGAAAGTATAAAATAGTGTGATTTGCTTGATTCTAGATTTGGCCATTAAAGAGCAAAGAAAATTTTATATATCTATTCAAAAATATGATGAAAAACGAATACTGTAGTCTTTTGTATTTTTAAACCATTAGTTCTCTTCTTCCTTTATAGAGAGACAGCGTAATATTAGCTTAATTATTTTTTTTTCTTTATTATTATAATATTTGCTAGTTAATTTTATTTATTAACATTTATTCACATGTAACTGTATACAAATTCTCATTTGTATTATGTATGCTATTTTAAATTATTTACATTATTGTTTGGATTCATGTTTATTTTTATAACACCCTGTCTACATAATTTCTTAGTCAGAGGTACAAAAGTCTATGTATATACATCGTATATGTATAGATGTAAATGATGAAAGTTTTAGTTCTTTATGATACTTTGATTTAATTTTTTATAGAACACTAGTGGCTCACCTTTGCTTCGCTCGGCTTAGCCTGTAGGAAAACAAAAACAAACCTATCTCACAGGAACTGTACATTTTCCCGTAATAAAAATGTGTTACGTGTTACATGTGTCATATAATATATTTTATCCAGATCCGTTCAGCCGTTCTGGCGTGAAAGAGTAACAAACATACATACTCACTAACTTTCACATTGATAATATTAGTATAGATAAAAAATACAGCGCGTACGGTCACGAGGAACATTGAAGTTTACATAATCAATAGAAAGATCGATATATTAAACCTAAATATTTAAGAATAATAATGTCTAAGAATTTCCAAAATATTTAACTTATTATTTCATTACAGTTAGCTGAGGCGTTAATCAAAAAGGAAACCCTTAATTACAAGGATGTAGAAGCCATTTTAGGTCCACCACCTTTTCCGGGAAAGAAATTTATTGATCCCGTGGAGTTTGAGAGTAATTTGAAAAATATGGAAAATGCTGCAAACCCAGACGATATGAATCCCGTGGGAGCGCCTTCTGCCAAGCCAGAACCCGGCGTGTGAAACTAGTGTTTGTAAGAATAGTAGACCGAATATAAATATAGAATCAGTTGACATTCTATGGTTTTATTAACTCCTTGATTAACTACTTGTCGCCTTAGAGATTATTTGTTCATACCACCAAGTACTAGTACTTGCGGTACTTAACAGTAGAGAGTTTTTTTCTCTATCTTAAAGACAACGCTTTATTTCCAAGATTTATATACGTTTATAGATGAAATACATTTTTTTGCCTTTATAAAAGTAATATGTATTTCTATTTAATACCAATAGTAATGAAAAATTTAAAAATCAAAAATTCTGTACTAAAAACCTCTTCGGTTAATTGGTCGTTTTGACTTGACATTTTGTCTTAATAACTTTATTCAAATAGACTTATTACAAGCACTTTTGAATCGTCAATTTAATGATTCAAAAGTGCTTGTAATAAGTCTATTTTGGAACGTTTGGAAAAAATTATCATAGTAAAAAAATTTTACAATGCGTGCACACCGACAGCCAAAATGCGACATGATGAAGTTAACTGCATTCCTTTTACAAACAGAGTCGTGACAGACGGGATGAAATCTAGCTATTTTTGTTCTATAACTTCTTACAAACGCGTTTTTTATCATACTTTCTTGATTTTATATGATTAATGTTACAATTTTTGTTGGCGTGGGATACGTATGTAAGAGAAATTATTACAGGTGTGCACTTTGAGATTTTATCGTTTTGAAGATTTGTAGGCTAAATATTTTTGCACTCATGAATTCAAAAGTGAAACTCCAGCTGCGAAAGTTAAGTTTCTGTGACGTGTTGCGTAGCGACCTTTGTTTATTATGTATGCAATGCAAATAAATTGCTCTGCGAAATCTTTCATTTCAATATTTTTTGTCTATAGGAATACTTTTAAGGAACTGCTTGTGTACTACTTATTGAAAGCCTTACATTTTAGGAATGCATCATTTTCATTTTTCCCGGATAAAAACCTATGTGCTATTCCAGACTATAATCTATCTCTGTGCCAATTTTCATCCAGATCGGTTCAGTCGTTTGGCGTAAAAGAATAACAAACATCCATCCATCCATCCACACAACTTTCACATTTATAATATTCGTAAGGATGTATTATAATTTTGTATAAATATCAATAAATATAATCGATATGTATAACGCCATCTAGAGACATTTATTTAAAATAATTTTTCTTCGTTTATAAGTACTAGTAATTTACTATTTCTTATTATTATTGCACACTCGTAAACAGGAAAAACAAGATACTATTTTTTTCTCTACTGCATAAAAAAGCTAATCTGTGTATAACGTCTATAAAAGTATTGATCAAAATATTCTATTCAATCAGAAAGCTGTGAACATCTCTTATACCGTCTAAAAACAATGTCTAAAAAATGTTATGACGGTAAAGAACAACACCAACAGGTTGGCTTCTAGAAAAACAAAAACCTATCCTATAGGAACCGTACGTTTTTCCGGGATAAAAAGGAGCCTATGTGTTATTTCGATGTATGAGCTATATTATCATAAAGTTTCATTGAAATCCGTTCAGTAGTGTTTGCGTAATAGAGTCACCAAACAAACATCAATAGGTACATGCATACATCCTCACAAACTTTCATATTTACAATATTAGTAGGATGGTAGGATTTATAGGGACATTTTGTTTTTTCTTTATGGCTTAGAGCTGCGTTAACAGACAGACGCAATTCATTCTGCCAGTGAGGAAGACACGAATGAGATTGAGCGGTAATTGTGAAATTTAGCGGCTTTAATATGGAAATCTATACATATAATAAAATTGTAACTAAGTCGAGTCTGTTATCGCATCACAGAAAAACCACTCGAGGGATTTTCATGAAATTTGGTATGGTGATAGCTGGTTATCCGGGTCAACATATAGGATACTTTTTACCGCGGGAAAATATCTCATTTCTGAGACAAAATACAAAAACTGCATTGTAAGAGTATACTAATATGTAAAACCTAAGAATTTGGTTTTTGGTCATCTGAACGCGAGCGGAGCCGCGGGCAATGCTAGTAAAAGTATAAATGAATGATCGGCTTAATTAACATTTGGTGTTAACTGGGCGGTGAATTTGAGTGGGGATTATGTCATGTAGAAAATAGTTCAATTTGGGACAATTAAAAAGAGTATGAATATAGCGGAGTACCCGCATGGCCTAGACGGAGCCTACATATAATTGAGGTGGTTTTACGGTCAGCACGGCGAAATCGAAAGAACCACGGATACTGGAACCTCCGTTTGATTGAAGCATAATACTTACTTTTAGGTTTAATTTATGTGAGATAGATTTCAATGCGTTTTCGCGCCAACTGACTGACCTAAGCAAACTATGTACCATGTTTAGTGCGACGAGCACTTACTTTATTTCTTTATATTTTAAAGTTTTTTAACTTGGTTGCGTATTAAAACTTTTTTATATGTTTAAAGTTTTATTTAAATTTGATACGTTTTTTCCGGTTTTGTACAATTTCATTTTAAAACTTTAATTCTGATTTATAAGAACAATAATATATACAAATCATTAATTTTTATATTTTACTGTAAATTAGTTAAATTGAACAAAAAAAGCTTCCTTTAGATCAATTTCAATTACGTGAGTTCTTAAGAAGGCCTTAACCAGTCGAGAAAACCTCATATAAACAATATTATGCGTTCTCATTCATATTTTCTAGGAATACTTACAATTAGGCAAAATATCAACAATTTTAGAAACTCGAAGTTCGAACCTTTACCTGAAGTGTTAGTACATACTTATTTAAGAACAGATGATTAAAAAAAAATAAAAGTCCAATGATAGGGGGAAACAATTTTATTCACAATCAAGAGGATAGGACACGGAGTAAACACCGATTGTCGAAAATTTCATATAAGTGGGTATATCAAGAAAGTACACAATAACATTACACTAACGACTACACAAACGTGTACAATTGATAAAGATAGAACATTCCTAACGCGGGGCTATTCTGAATAGTACGTATCAAACAAATAGCAGTCTTCAATAGTAAAACGTCACGATCCAATGATCATATTTATATTAGGTAAAATTCTGTTAGTAAAATTTAAATTCGAAAGAGTATATACTCATAACATTCTGGACATCTGTCCTTACGTCGAACTTGCGAAGTTATAATACTGATATCATCTATAGTAATAAAACAAAATTATGAAGACAAGACTGTTTTGCTTAATAAATTAATAAAAAAGAAATAAAATGAAAATAAAACATTTATTTTATAAATAAACGTAAGTACGACGTCAACAAGTGCTTATCTTAGTTTCCCCGAAAGATCATCAGCCCTTTGCTTATTTTCGACGATTGTACTTTCAGGGTGTCCACCTTCCTTACACTATTTACTTCATACACTTAAATAATACTGCAGACCGTATTTCTAACGATTGGTTCACACAACAATGCACCCGTAGCTTTTCTATTTTTTAAATAGAAGCGTAAGATTTCTTTTAACTTAACAAGTTGTTACAACAGCTTTAATAAAAATAGTTTAAAATACAGGGTGAAGTGTCGTGTAAACCGGCTTCCTCTCTAGAATAAAGGACCGCACGTAACATGTTTATACTTTATAGCGCGTTCCATTCAGCGATTTCTACTGAAAAATGCTTCATATGACGTCGAAATGACAACTGTTATATTTTTCATGTTGTTTCAAAAACATACTGAATAGAGAAATTGTACCCGATACAGCGCAAATAAAAAAAAAACAATTTCTTTCACATTGCGAGTCCAAATCCAAAAAAATCCACATCTCGACTTACATTTTTCACAAAGCAATTTTATAAGAAACTTATTTTATTTATAAATATAGACATAAAAATAAAATTCCTTTCAATGAAAATCTGTAGGCTTTCATAGATTTATAAAAGTTTATTGAAGCGACTACTCGTATATACGTAATCGAGATCGTTCAATGGAACGCACTCATGAATATAGAAAGAGATATTATACAATTTGCTGCCGGCTATCAGCACGGACTTGTATAATCCTCACCAAACTTTTTGGCCGCCTTAAAGTTGGCGATAGCAAGATCTCGCGCAGATACATTCGAGTGGACAACAGTTAACGCATTTATAAATATGTGTTAATAAAATAACTTACATTTTCTTATATAATGATTTATTTTATTTAGTTATAATAATAAATAAAATAAATTAATAGGATCTGGAAATTAAATATGTACATATTTTCATCATAAAAGACATTTTAAAGGTCAAATTGACTTTTCGAGGATACTTTTCTAAATTGTTAGATATAATTGTAGTTCATATACAGACGTGTCACGTATACTACGCTGGACGAGCTCTCGGGCGCCGCGGGTGAGACACAGAGCCGATACCTTAATGTTTCGTTCTGCGCAGCGGCTCGCGCCAATTCCGGGGGCCAAAAACTTTGAGGAAGACTATACTTGAGAAAAATCTTAAAATATCTTAAAAAAATATACCAAAGAATTGCCTCTCAAATATTTGTGCTGTCAAATAGAAACACAAAAAAAATATATTTAAATAATTGTGCCTTTAAGTTTTACATACTGCAAAACTGTGTAGTGTGCACGAACGCTTCAGTGATATGCGGAACTTGTCAAAACAAAATAACAAAACATAAAATTCCTCAATACTCCATCTGTGTCATATATTTCAATGATAAGAACTACAAACGTTTAGAGAAAAAAAGGTATCTATCTACTTTTAAAACTTCGTTTTAAAGATACATAATAATTAATAGTGTCATGGAATATTATAATGTTATAGTCCCATTGCCATAGAAAATCCAATCAATAATATTGAATTGTTAAGAGAATAAATAAAATGCTTCTCAAAATATTTTATTCTGTAAGTTATTTCTCATAATGTTGATCTGTTTCTGCAACAATAGGACTACATAGAAATATTATAATGAATTCGAAGCGAAGGACCTTTATTATTATTTCATCAATGTCAAATTATATGTTTCTCTTCGAATTATGATAGTATTTCAATTTATAATTTCCAAATCGGTATATACTTTTCAATACATTTTGTTTCAGGGATTTATTATATATACAATATAAACGTTAATGTGCAATCTTGTAATTCGGTCCTTATCACTGTATATGTGGGGATTGAAGGGCACACAATATGACTAAGCCTAAGAAGGATTAGGCGACACAATAACATACATTAGGTGACATTTAAAATAGAGTAAAACAGTTATAAAGATTGTAAATCCATTTAAGAATATTTCATTTCTCTGACATCTATAGGTAATCTATATTGAAATTGTTACAGTTGGACCCGATTTTAGAATACGCAGTATCAGAAACATAAACCGTTTCAAAATAGTTTAAGTGTTAGAAATAGAAAGAATCCAAAATCGGGCGCATTATTAATTATTATACGAGTGAATATAAATACGTTATGACACGACCTACCACAACATCAATTCGGGATTTCTTTTTATTATTTGGGGTCATAAAGGTCTGACACGTATAGATACATCCATGTTCAACTACTTATGTTTAATATGTAAATGTAAGCAACATCGATTAGTGTCAGAGTCTAAGATATTTATAAAGTATGATTTGTACGCAAGATACTTTGAGCGTGGACAGTTCAGATTACATTTTCGAAATACAAGGAGTAATAGATATCAATAAGAGAAGGATTATATAAGAAGAAACATATTAGAAAAAAAATATTATTAAAACTATTTCTTATAGAGAATATCCATTAAGTGTAAAACAAAGCAAATGCGGTATTTGTCAATCACGTAGGTGATTTTAATGTGACTTGAACAAAAGTTGACTTAAAACTAAAAATTTAAACAATACACAGTTTATGTAGGTTCCTTATGATATATAAATAAATATAATAACATAGAACATTGAGCATTTTGTATTCCTTATGTCTAAATTAAATGTATTTACAAGATAGAAAGTCAGAAAGGTAGGGGCGTCGAGCGTACACCGTTGCGATGAAGTGAAGGCATCAAAGCTATTATACGTTAAGTTCATGCACATTAATATCCTCTATAGATTTTGTGTCTTATTTCAGTGCGACTCGCCGCTATATTACGACCAAAACTCGGTCAAGTCGTATTTATTTAACAATCATTTTTTTAAACAATATTTTGTCACTTATTTGTGCCTCTTAGACCATCGAGTTAGGGCTAGTAGGAATACCTATATGATTAAAAGTGACTGTTTTATTGATTAATTTACTTTCTAACAAAATAAAATTCATAGCTTTCTTTATTTAGTGACGTAGGGATTGATGTAGGACTATCGCCTCTTGCTACAAGAGTGAAATTGCTTAAATGAAAATTCGCGAAAGGTTACGACGTTAGACTAGTTAAACATACATTTCCGATAACATTTACTTTATTTCTTCTTCTAATTGATACTACTTTTAAAATATGATTTATAAGTACCGGTAAATATCTATTGCAAAACACTGATAAAATCCTAAGGACTTCTTTATTCTATAATACGCATAATTATACGTTAACGAGTAAATAGACGACGATGGACATAAATGTTTTTTTTTGGCTTTGTATGTTGAAATTTTAATAAGGAATTGTTTAACATTTCCACTGAGCAAGGCAGGCAGTCCATACTCTCTCCCCATATCGCTCCCGGGCTAAAGCGTCGGATTTCAGACTCACTTTCAGTCCATAACAACTCCGTCAAGGAAAAAATATAATATTTTACCCTAAATCAAGCTCGATCCTTCATATTTCCTTCTAACAAAATGCTCTACTCAGGGGAAATTTGTCTCTAAATACGTAATATGTATCAATTTCATACTAAAATCACTCTTGTGACTTTCTATCTAATATTAAAATATTACAATAACCATATAGATCATATAATTAATTAGTTTACCGACAAATCCACAATATACATGTATTGGCTCGCTAACTAAATATTATGAGAATATAGATTTTTATTTGGTTTTTAAATATGACCCCAATTGAGAAAAAGTGGTCTGTATTTTTTGATGTTTAATATACATATATTATGTAGATAGTTCAGTACGAATAGTACCGTAGATAGAATATTTCTTTAGTATTTTTAAAATAATAATCATTATTTAAAGCCGATTAAATTAATATGAATAGCATCATATAATCTTTCACAAATTAGTTAAAACAACTTTCATATATAGATATTTAAACATATCAAATACGTAATACTGAATTAATCGTGGCTATTATATCTAACACCTCATATTTTTTGCCAAAAGGGCGTTTCAATAAGATCTTACATCGAAGTCCTTACAGCTATGACTATATAACTTTTGAAATACTAAAAGTTATTGATTATGAGACTTTACTCCACTAACAAATAATTTGGCATGTCGCCTTTTATTCACTAGACTACTTTGAGACTTAGCAACTCAAACTGCAAACAAGTAGATAACCTATGAGACGTAAGTTAAGAAGTAGATCCTTAATAAACCTTAATAAAAATAATAACACAAAGTTAAATATAAATAATTTGTACTAAGTTGTTGAAATGAACTTCGTTGTCATTACGTGTGGCACTGTCGGCCGAGACCGGCTCATACTGCAGTTAATTATCGTCATACAGAATACTTTTGTAGTTTGGTACAGAAAATGTCCTACGTCTTGCTATTCCTATAGTCTTATCAGTAAGAAAGAATAAAATAGTTCAAATAAATGTCAACAGATGGTGTAATATGGCGTGGATTTGTCTTTCTTAATGATGTTTATTTAACGGGAGCACAAATAGATGATAAAAAGCAATAGAAAACTAAATAATGGATTCTCAAATCAGATTCCATAATTTTATACTTCTACTTAATTTTTTTTAAAGAATGACAAAGCTGCTGTAAAGTAATAATATGTTTATACTGTGCTTTCAGAGATGGCGCTGTTTGTGATATATGAGATGTTTATTCCAGTTATAAACAGCTATAACAACTGAAATCATTGTATTTTAAGTTAGCTGTTTATAGTTGAGGTAAGTGCTATCTTTCGTCTAACGGCAAAACAAAATGGTGAGAAGAATAGCCAAAGTTAGGGCCTTCCAATTTCTATGAATGGGGATGAGTTATATGTTCATAATGTCATCTATGTTAGATACGATACTACTACTACATCGGCTTCTCTGTTTAATAGGGTTGCCGCAGTTCGCTTGTAGTGCACGTAAGCATGATACTCAAGCGTGTGTAATCGAAGGTTATTGAGAATCCTAACGCGTCAGATGAGATAAGACCAATTTGATTGAAAGAGAAATAACTGTGTAGATGAATACATAACAACACCCTTAGTGCTACGCTGAATTGCACTTTATTGCGTTAGAACAAGATCAGTAATTGATTTAAATGTCTACGGAGTGAGTCTTTTGTACCAAACTATTAAGTATTTTATGCTGCAACCGACAGATTGTAGCACTGGCGCAAATTAGTTAAAAAGCCAAACCATAAACAAGTATATCCTAGTGAGCCGCATTAGCGTAAAATGTGCGCTAGATGGCAGCCCTATACATAAATAACAGACATTCTTAGTAATATTCAAATATTAGGTTAATAATTTATTACATAAAAGTATTTTAATACATCAAGAAAAGTTTGGCGTATTTTGCCGAAAATCCAAAGTAGATTTGTTTTAAATTTGCCGGTAGCTTGGTTTAAACAGATAAGCATAAGTAAGCATAACATGCTTACTAGTTTTCAGTAGTTTTATCCATGTCGTTAATAAGACGAAATACCTGAAAGAGTACAAAATATGTTTCGTTTATGTTTTTGCTATAATAATATGTAAATAGGTACAAAATTACAAAGTTATAATGATTGAGCCGTGTCGCCCAAGACGATGAGGCTACAAAGTTACTCAGACAACACCTGTTACGTCCTTAAAAGGGTTTTAAATATTCATGACTAAAATCTTATCATGCTTTAGACACCAAAGCGGAATATTGTTACTATAGAAAAACGAATGTAGAAATATTTAGAAAACATTTTCATTCAAGATCAAGTTAGTTTTACCACCCATGCATTAAGAAGAGGAAATTGAAAATATTAGATATAAACATGTATCACACCATTTAAGGCTAAAATTTTGAAATAAATATTAAAAACAAATAAAAACATCGACTTAGCACCTGTAATCACCTCAACGGGGAGAGAACTTCTGCGGTGAAGTTGTTGAGAGCGTTCTTGAGCACCGTACGTCTTTGCGAACCATTGTTGGCAGGAGACGATGGGACCTTGCTTCTTGCGGCCACCATTGACGCTGTGGCGTAGGGCTCCGAGGGAAGTGAGGCTCCTCAGGTCGCTAGAAGCAACCGGCGCAGGGGCAGAGCCCCTTCGCCGCGTCCAAGACTCTTTACCAGAAAGTGTACAGCGCAATAATTGCGGTATCGTAAGTGATACTTCGCGCATCTTCATCTCTTTTGGTGCTGTTGATAAAAATTGCATTGTTAGTTTGAAATACGTAATCGATTTGGATATATCAAATGTAGCGTCATGTTAACTTACTGAAAACCAATGTGTCAGTCGGCATGGATTTCCTGCGACGTAAGAATTGATCAGTGGATTTGAGTTGCACTGCAGACAGGTTGTCGCGTAGTTGACTGCCTACTATGGTAGCATCTCGCCTAGCATCAGACTTCGGCATCTTAAAATTGTCAATATTCAAAAAGGCAAAATCTTTTACATCTAATTCAGAAGCGTCATCAATTTCAGTCTTTTCGGTCTCATCCCTTTTGAATAGATTCGATATTGCCCTTTCAGTTTCATAAGTCAACGCCAAGCCCCTTTGGCAGCGAGCAGTGTATATGGTGTCCTCATTGCTGGTGCATTTAGTGCGACAGAGTAGAGCGTGTGTATGTGCGATAGATTCCAACGGTGGGAAAGTTTGCTGGCGAATTAGTTTCCAGGTACCGCCTTCTTTGATAACAGTATTGAGGCGCGTGGCCTGTACCGGTGTGGTGATTGAAGCTATTGAGGTGTCCGGTAGGAGCTTTTCAGTGCTGAGTACTTTCTCTGCATCATCTTCATCAGACTCACATTGACCTCCAAGCTGAGAGTGAATGGAGTGTCCGCTGCCGATTAAACTAGCGATCCCTTTAATACGTAACTCAGTCGACAGAGAACCGCGACCTTTTTCTTTGTATTTGAACTTAGTGTCTTGGAATACATTAAGGGGTACTGAGAACCTGCGCAATTGTTCCTTAAAATCGATCGGTCTTGCAGGATTCAGAGAACTCCTTCGTAGAGGCAATAATAATTCAGAACTATCCGAAATGTTTGTGCCAGAGCAGGTTTCGAGTTCGTCGTCAACCAAGTCTGCATCAGATATCTCAGTTTTCGCTTCCTCAGCTAGCTCTTGAGCGACTAGCATCTCCCATTTACTCTGATTGTAGAACAAGTTCTCAAGCATTTGTGCAGAAAGATCATTCTGGAGGAAACGATGCCATTCAGAGATGAGAGGCGTCACCACGAACTTCAAGAAGCCTGTAAATGATGATTCGTCAATATAATATTAATGTAAAAATATGATTTCTAATAACGCCCAACAAATGAGTATTTATGGCAGTTAAATATAATTATTATGTAGAAATAAAAAGGTAATAAGCAATGAAATACGACGGTGTCGATACAGTAATGACACGACAGCACAGTAATTATAAAAAGGAAGTTGTATTTTGCCGTTACATTTAGTAGTTATTGAGTTAATGGATAAATGGCAGTCATTATTCATATTTTAATTAATGTTTGAAGGCATATTCAAATAAATTATTTTCTTAATTATACAACTCCGTTCAATGTGAGGAAGCATATACATATGTAAAACAGCAAATGTTAGTATGACCTGTTTGTATTTTTGGTATAGACGTGGTATGCCGGTCACATAGCGCAGTGACGGGGAGATTGAGTTTCCGCTCGTAGTCGCCTTGGCGGAAGAACTCCTCGCACACCTTTAGGCTCCACTTCCTACTTATTTCCCAGGGCCGGCACGGGTTGGATATATCGGCGCATTTCAAAGCGATCTGTAGCACTAGGTGGCGGTGATCGCTTTTCGTCATGTCCAGTGTGTTGGTATCCAGATATGTCTGTCGAAAATGTTTTTTTATTAGATAACTTGCCATTTTTATTTTTAAAAAAACCTTTGCTTATTATGTATCTAGTATAAGCCTTTTAAAAAGATTTTCCTGTAAAAGTTGTGATTTAAACTTAAATAAAACGAATATGCGATACCGATGTTTGTCGGCAGTAATTAGGTCAACACTAAAAGTACTATATTTAACGTTATAATATAAGCCCATATATGTATGGGCATGTTCTTGATTAATATGAGTAGTCATTAGTTAAACTAGAATCCGCCGGAATTATTCCTATTTAACATTAATTGTAGTGTAAGCTGAAAGTGGAGGCATGAAATAATAGAAATTTATATTATCTTGAAATTGGATGCAACTCTTCATAACAGACTAGCATTGCCCGCGGCTCCACCTGCGTTTAGATGACTAAAAGCCAAATTCTTAGGTTTTACATATTAGTATACTCTTACATTGCAGTTTTTATATTTTTTCTCAGAAATTAGATATTTTACCGCGGCAAAAAGTATCCTATATGTTGATTCGGATAACCAGCTATCAACTATACCAAATGTAATCAACATCCCTCCAGTGGTTTTTCTGTGATGCGGTAACAGACATACACACAGACAGACCAACAAAATTTCTAAAAAGTATAGATTAGGCCTCTGTATCGATAATAATGTTTATTTCAATAAGATTTTCCAAAAAATCATTAATGTACAGATTCGGCTTAGTTCCAATTTTATTATATGTATAGATAGTATTACATGATGTGTATGAGCGTCTTTAGTTTAACGTAACAATTTAGTCGAGCGCAATTCACTAATTTTAGCGATCTCGGGAAGCTGGTGCTACAGGTAAATACCTATGTATGTACATTGTACATATGTTGATTCATTAGTCTGATGTTTAGTTATATTTAGCTTATTAACTATTTAGGTAAATTGTTGTGCATTACATTATAAATAGCTTACTTCGTTTATAGACGTTGTTATTTTGTTACTGTTACGAATTGGGATAGAAAGAAATCGTTTTGTACGAATTATATGTCGACGAATTAGTAATGAACGTTTGTTACATTTTTAAGGATCTCAAACGTGCGATCATTAATGTAGGTCACAATACACATGTGTTTTTACAATGCGTCAAGGTGTTAGTGCGCTTATAGCTAGGATTTAGACTAGGAAATTAGAGTAAAGTAGACGAAGTAGACAACAACGACTTTGGCCGTGTTTATTTTGTATACATAACCCACTTTCTCAATTTAGAATAACTCCGAGTGTGCGTAATGATTGATAAACATCTCACATACAATTTTTAGGTTGCGCCTTCTTATCTGATAAATGCTTATGTATACACATATGTATCAAATGAGCGAAGAAATTATTATAATCTACATAAATTTATAATTATTAGTAAAATTATATCATACGACTTTTTGATTGATAGCACGAGTTTTTTATTTAACTAGCGAATCACCCTCTCTTCGCTCGGGTTCGTCCCTAAGTACGTTTGCACGGTAAGTATAGAATAGAATACTTTAGGAGATAGACTTATACTATTGCAGACTTTTCAGTAGGCCTTTTTAAGACCTACAATTTTTTAGTAGCTTTAGTCAGCGGAAGCTTTCTGAAAACGACTCCATAAAACCAGTTATTAAGTTTTCCCGTGGGAAAGAAAGATTTTCCTGAAGTAAAATTTATCCTAAATGTTGACCCGAGTACCTAATAAGTTATCACTTAATAAGTTATCACAGACATTTTAATAACTATTGTTTTGGGGTCTATACTGTGTACACAATACGTTACAGTCATTGTTTTAAAAATATTTGATGAATAGATTTCGCTAAGTTACTGCTTTATAGATTAGGCAAGTACTTATAATTAATTCTAGCTTTTATTACGTTTTACCTTTGCTGTGAAGTCGACTCAATTTACATGATAAAAAAGCCATTAAAAAAAGACATGAATTAAAATAATTTTATTTTTCATTTCCTTCCTTTGCTAGACTTAGCAATATAACAATATATTTATGTATGGTTTATTATTGTGAGTACACAACTTTAAGAATAGATTGCTTCTTACATCGTATGTAAGACAATAACTTATTTTTTCACTGAGTAATCGAAAGATAATGTACGAGTAAAATGTTATTTACGAAGTATATGTGTAGGTACATATTCTTATTTTATTTATGAAGTTCTTGCAAAAAAGCTCCATCATTACTCGAATTGTATTCGTTATTAAGCTCCATACAATTTCCATAATGTACGCTACTTAAATACTATGAAGTATTACTACAAACATCGCGTATCAAGTTAGAAAGCATACCATTAAAAATTCAATTTTATTATTGGGAAAAAAATCTTATTAGTCCAATCAATGAGGATTTTTATCTGTATTTTTGGTCAATGCTAATTGGAAGCGCGTTAAAACGCGTCGGAACTTTGTCAAACGCTCTGTGAAGCTTAAAAATTGGAATATTTTTTGTTCATTATATAAATATCTTGTGCCATTGCGATCTAAATAACTACGTAGGGGATTGAATTTTAAGGCACGTGGAACAATATAGGATATATTTTTGTAAAACTGTTTTGTTGTAAAAAAAATTATAAACACTTTTCTGTGACCTAATCAGGTTAAAAACAATGTTGCGACTTGCGAAGTTTAGTCTACAATATAGTTTTTGCTATTTATTTAAAAAAATCCAAGAACTTTGGAATCACTAAAAATCGCTGAATATAGATGGGGATTAAATCGATAGGTACAGAGGTCCTCGATCCCCCTGCCAGATGTGATCCATCAGTCATGTCACACACTAGATAGCTGTTGAAGCGCGAGAATTGCCGCTATGAAATTTCACTTGAATTTTTTTTGCTGTGAAATTTTAGGAACCACGAATTTTGAAATTGCATTAAATTTATATTTTACTAGTGACTCGCCCTTGCTCCGCTCGGGTTCGTCCCTACTTATCGTTTTAACTTTAATATACATAGATTTCTCAGAGATGAGACATTTTCCCGCAGTAAAAAGTATCTATATGTTGACTTGGATAACCAGCTATCATCATACCAAATTTCATTAAAATCCATTCAGTGGTTTTCCGTGATGCGGACTGACAGATAGACAGATAAAAATTCTAAAAACTATAGATTCGGCCTCTGTATCAATAATAATATCTATTTCAATAAGATCAGCTGTTACAATTTTATTATATGTGTACATGTATTTATTTTACTTAATCACTTATTTAATATTTATACATGTAAAAAATGATCATATCACTCATTTATTACTTTAGAAAAAATTGATATTAATTTAAATATTTATAAACCAAATGTAATTCCATAATATGTAAAGCCTATAATATGTATGGTATATACAATCTAGGGCAAACAAAGAGGAATTGTGTATTTATGATAATTCATTAATGGAATTGATCACATTTTATATTTTTATACTTGAAATGCTTTCGTATCTACATTGTTTATTCTGCTTGCATGTGAATAATTACACTGTCATCAGAGAACTTTGAGTGATTTTGCCCTCATAGAATTAAGTTAAAATTATTAAGCCATAGGTATGCAATTTCTATTGCGGTAGTTACGAGTAGACCGAGTATTATTATTAATACCTATAATGATTGATGACATTCACATAAAATTAATTGCATTGTAACAATGCCCTATAGAAAGAATAGCAGATTGTATGTACCTTTATTTGTATGTATGTATGTATATATATATATATATATATATATACATATATATATATATATATATATATATACATAAATATATATATATACATATATATATATATATATATATATATATATAAATATATATATATATATATATACATAAATACAAAAAAAACATATAATATTATAGAGGCAGAGTTTGAATGCTCTAATATCCATTTTACGCGCTAATATATATCATATAATATTATATAGTCTTTATATTCCATATGAACCTTTAAAATGTACCTAGGGACGAATCCGAGCGAAGCGAGGGTGAGTCGCTAATATAATTTACATATGAATCGGTCATTTCAAAAACCCCATAAGTCATTCAATTAGAGTTTTTCAGGAATCAATAAAAACTGTTTCGTGCACAAACGAATGAGTTTAAAAGGACTTTTTTATGCTTAATTTAGTATGTGAGTGGTAAAAATCTATATATATCTTTTGTATAAATATTATAAATGTGAAAGTTTGTGAGTATGTATGGATGTTTGTTACTCTTTCACGCCAGAACGGCTGAACGGATCTGGATGAAATTTGGCACAGAGATGGATTATAGTCTGATAAAAAAAGCCTATGTGTTATTCCAAACACATAGGCTTTTTTTATCCCGTAAGAATATACGGTTCTCGAGGGCTAGATTTGTTTTTTTGTCTTTCTAGTTTATAATATTTATTAATATATATTCCTCAGCTATAATAGTACCATATATTGTTGAACTAATCAGAAAAAAGCAAATTTAAATGTCAAACTCAGTCATAAAACCACTCCCGTTATCTATTAGTGCATGCAAGAACCACTTAAGTCACTGACTAATGTTGTTTATGCAATGAATGTCTTTCACACGATTTTATTTGAAGAAGAAGGAATGTATTGACTTATTCATCCAGAATACACATCTTCCTTTAATGAACCATTTTCAACAAAAAAAGCATGTTGGAAAAAAACATGACCTAAGAGGTTTTTATAATGGTGATTCATATAACAATTATGTTTTCAGTTTCTTAATTTGTTTGTAAGGTATACATCAATATACATATATATATATATATATATATATATATATATATATATATATATATATATATATATTCAGTAATAAATGATTTAAGTACTATTTTCAGAGTATATTGTGAAAATATTGTGAAAATTGTACAAATAAGAGATATAATCACAAGAGATAATATCTCATATCTATACAGATAAATAACATTGAAGTGTCTGTTGAAAATAATTAAAAAAAATAATAATGCCATAAATAGCAT